TCAAGCTGATAAGTCAAAGTAGATATGCAGAAATACTGTAACTGGGAGTCATTCCTTGAAGCTGTTCTCTTATACTGGTACACTACTTGTCCATATTTATAACCAAAGCACTTTTTGACCATTTTTGGATATGTCTCACTTAATTTTAGCATTATTTTTGACAAGTTAATCATCTGCCTTTCGTGTATGATTATTCATGTCAGCATATTGTCATACTGTAGACATGGAATTCTGCTTATAATGCGGTTTGGCCCTTCTTCAGGATTAGTTCCACATTTCTGATTATTTTTCTGTTTCTTCCCTCTCTCTCTCTCTCTCTATATATATATATATATATATTATATTCCTTACTCAGAGTCATGAATGGAACATAAATCTCATGAGTTTTCAGCATGGAGTTACTTGTTTACCCCATGATTCTATGATCACCATGTGCATAAGGATGTGTCATATTGATATCTATATGAGATACACTCAATACTATGTGCTTACTTTTAAGTGCCTTTTACGTTAAGAATTTCATTCTTAAAAAGGAAAAGGAGGATTCTGTCTTACTAGAACGATACTTTAGGATCCTAGTTAATTACCTCATTTTGCTCATGCATGGGAATCATGTCATTTCTCTCACATACTGACGGTTGAGAATCTTCACTGTCCTTTACATCTTCCCTTACCATTGTTGCAAGCCTAAAGAAAGAAATAAAGGTGAAAAAGTTAAAGAGAAGCAAATAAACATTGTTTTCCAAATGGGTGACTTCTCAGTGATGTCTTTTCCCCACAGACCACATGGAAAAATCCTCTGCCCCGTTTCAGGATTAATGGTGTCCCTCTGTATGCTGTACCTAAGAATAAGAGACAGAAACTAACTGAAGAACAGTATTAAGCTTAGAAATTCAAGCACAAAAAACAAACAAACAAAATCCCCCAAAACCCCCCCTGAGTTTTAGAATCACAGTTATCTGTGATAACCTCTTCATTCCTTCTTAAAACTATGGCTGTAATTTTTATCTATTTATGCTTCCTTTCAGTATATAATAACCTTTATTTGCTGTCAGCACCGCTCAGGACCATTAGTTCTGAAAGTGTCACAGGTCCTGTGTACATGTGTCAGTACAAGTGACATTTAATGAAGTTAGAACAACAACAGTTTCTAAAACTCCAAGAGGTTTATAAAACTTGAGGAGGGGACACTCTCCCCCTTACTCAAGCCTGATTCATCCAGGTTGATTTTCAGAGGAATTTTAACAATGTGTTTCTATTAGATGCTACTAGTTACAAAGATACTGACTGAGTATCTAAGAAAGTGAAAATGCCTGTTTGAATAAAGATCAGGACTTTTCACAGCTTGCAACCTGATTAAACATGGCTCTTTTTTTACTCATTATATCCCATGGAGGTACTTCTCAGACTCGGAAGTAAGATCCAAGTAATTTGTGGATAGTTATCATTGTATTTGCTCAACTCTAACTGGTCCACTACTTGTCCCATAGATTCTAACAAGAGACATGGCAGTGTACTGTTTTGTATGTCAGATATTTTGTGGTGCACATATTTACTGTAGTTTCACAAGTGTGAGCCATCAAAGGGGGGGCAGGCATACTTCTGGAGACAAGGCTTGATAGTGTTCTCTCTTAGAGCAAAGGCTGGCATATATTCTCCATCAGCTAAATTTCTTTCAAGTCTTTTACACTGCTCTGGCCATATAAAACACCAGTGAAGTTAAGCCAGAACTTCTGAGCCAAGAAATTCCTTTCTTGCTAGATGGTTGGAAGTAAGTCAGAGCTGATTCTCACAATTATCAAGCCTTGAGTTTAAAATGAAATATTTGATATTTGGGAGGGGCTGATACCATAAAGACAAGGGCCATTCTAACACCTATGAAGTTTTGTTTGAGCTCTTCTGATATGAAACTCGCCTGAGGCATGACCAAGGCACAGCAGAAGAATACAGAGTTATAGGCTAACACTTTCAATGTGTTATAAGTTAATGGTTTTGCTTTTTTCCCCTTTCTTATTTAAAGGTAAAGTGTTTATTAACTCAATTTTCAGTACTTTTCTGTATTTTTAATTAGTATTTGCAGAACCAAATGGTTGTGATTTTAGGGTTTTTTTAATGACATCAGTAATACTTTCAGTTTTGGGTGGTTTTTTTTTTTTTTTTTTTTTTTTTTTTTTTTTTTTTTTTTTTTTTTTTTTTTTTTTTTTTTTTTTTTTTTTTTTTTTTCATTCTTTCATTGGGACTGGGAATCCACAAATGCCAATCCTCCTAACTGGAACAGAAAGTATCAGCAACCTACCAGTGCCTCCCTCCTTCCCTTCACTGACCACTTTTCCCAGGGTGGATTCACGTACTTAATTTTGCACTTGGTTTGTGTGCAAGCAAAGGACAGAAAGATATTGTTCTCCATCCAGCTTGGCACAGGCAACATCCCAGATCAGTCACATAGCAGGTGACACAAAATTAATTAATACTTCTAAGAGTTAATTAATTTATTAATACTTCTGAGAATGTCAAGTCCACCTCACCACAGCTTCAGCTCCTGAAAGTGCTGCTCACAGCAGAGTGTGGGACAGGCAAGATGGACTAAGCAGGGATATTGAATGTTTTGCTTAACAGGAATGGTTTCAGGGAATGAATAAGGAATCTAACAGTGCTGTCCTTACTTGGTTTGTGGCAGATCTTCACTCTGTTGGCAGGATCAAGAACCTACTTCCAAGAACTGTCCTTTGGAGCAACAGGACCAAAGTGAGTAGTTAGTGTACTCATGTTAGCATGGGTCTTTTGGAAGTTCACAGGTTTTGGGATTTTTTGAGGGGAGGGGGGTTTTGGTTTTTCAATTTCACCTTCCATGCCAACAAAAATCAGTGACTGAGAAATCACTGAGAGGAATTTATACCTCAGGGTAAAGGCCCATCCCATGGAGACTAGCCAGTAATAGACCCATTTTAGTACCTCCCTGTAAAATGCACTCTTCTCGTTTTGAAAGCAGAAAGGTTTGCATATATCCTCTGGTTTCAGTTGTTTTTGAATGGGTAGTGAGGGAGAGCTGACAGGCACGGCACGTGCATGCCTATGGCGGGAGCTCCGCTGCCTCGGTGCCTCTCAGCGTTCCGCTTTGCACACACACGGTACAGAAAGCCACGCAGACGAAATACCGCAAACACCACGCAGCAACGGGCAGAGCAAACAACGATTAAAACACCCAAACCATCATTATTCACAAAAAGGCGCCAAGCAAACCCGGGAGCAGGCTCCTGCCCGCCACGCCCGCTCTCCGTTCCCACCCCTCCTGCTGCAGGGGATGGGAGGCAGCGCGGCCAGAGGGGCCCGAAGCTCACCTGCGGCACGGCGGGGCGCCCAGCCGGGACCCGCTCCTCCCGCGCAGCCCCGAGCGGGACAGCCCGCTGACGGCTCCGGCTCCTCCTCCCTCGCTGCTGCTGGAGCGACAGGCCCTCCTCCGCAGCCACAGCCCCGCCAGGCCGGAGCTGCCGCCGGGGATGCCGCCGAGGGCTCCCGCGGGCCCCGCTGCGGGCACCGCGGGAAGCGCGGCAGGAGACGGCCGCGTCCGAGCTCTCAGGTGGTGGGAGCGATGGACCAGACCTGAGCCAAGATTTTTGTCTCTTTCGTAGCCAGTCGCCCATGAGACTCGCTGCATCCAGTACACACGAAAAAGGCTTTCTGTGCTGCCTTTCCCATGGCTGTGGGAAGATGCATGGGGAGCCACACGCAATCCTTCAACCCAGACTACAGCACTGGAGGACTTGGAGATTTGGTGCAAGCAAAGGGTAAGGAGCTAATGCTGATTCTGCTCTGACAAAATGCACTGGCACAGGCAGGAGAATTAAAAACCAAACCCAACCAACCAATCTCCAAAACCACCCCGAACAAACACAACTTGCATATGTTCCCATCCCGGCATTTTGACTTCTTAAAGATAAAGCAAGTTCATCCACCTTATTTGTAAGTGCACATGAGGTAACGAGATGTTCTCTCAGACCTTCTCTTTTTTTCAACCCTCAATTTGCAAGCTGCACTGAGTCCATGTGAAAGGCAAGTCAAATACCCCATGTTGCTACTTTGATCCTGGTATCATCACACAGAACTAAGCTGAATACAAATCCAAGAGAAAATGAAAGCATTTTTTGATCAGATTAAATTTTCCAGAAGGACTCGGAATCAGGGAAGTCTATTCCTCCCTCCCTCACAAGAGAAAAATTTGACCTAAAATCTGAAAAGTCAAAAAGCCTCTTTATATTATCACTGGTGTGGAAGGAAAACAAAAAGAATTACCCAGTTTCATTAAAAACAAACCAGGGAATTAGGTCACAAGAGCATTAAAAAGCATTTTCCTTTAATAATTCCTGCAAGTCTGCTGAAAAACCTCATGACATTGGAAGAGTTTCAGAGTTGCAACTGTTAACACCTCCATGAAAAGTACTGCTGATTTTTACTTTTCTGGTCCATCGGATTCTTGGCCTACCACTAAAAAGCCCTTTGTGCCTTTAGTGCAATTTAAAGGCAAGTGCTACTTATTTTCTTACACAAGTGCTTTGACAACAACAGCAGCAGCAGCCATTTTTGAGCAGCAACCCTATACTACAATCACCTACAACCACTTCTAAGTGAGCTTAGAAACATTAAGTAATGATGGTCAATGTGCAATAAGTATAATGATTTTTCTCTCAGATTCTTAATTATATTTTCAGAATACACAGTACATGTTCCCTGTGTTACTGCAGTGGGGAAATTTTCTCTTTTCAAGGTAAGTCTTCTGCACCTACTACAAAAGAAGGACTTTGGCTTTCATATTAAACTCTGAAACCATTGAAATCATGTCCTGCCAGCCTCAATTTTTAATATTTGAATTTATGTCTGTGAACATTTTTGGAGCCATTTTGGATAACTTTGGATTTGTGCCCCAGCTTGATCCTGCTTGGCTGCCAGGGTCACTTGATTGAAACATTAGATTCTCTAAAACCCCATAAACAATCTACACAAGGTCAGAATGTTCCAGCCATGATTAAAGGTAAACGTTAAGCCCATAATAAGCCAAATGAAATCAATGTTCATAGTGTTTCTCATTTGTAAAATCTAGATTTACATACAATTATTTTAAAATAAGAGACCAGATTTTAACTAGATGTGTTTCATTATCTTTGAAATCAGGTAATTTATATTAATGTCTCAGCTGATACTGAAAAGCTTAAGCAGTAATTTTATAAACATGGCAGTTTATGTTGCTATAGAAACACACAGACAATACTGTACATTTTTCCTGTGCTTTGATTACTGATGAATCATATTAAGTAGCATTTAGCCCTTAATTCCTCCCTCACATATATATGTATAAAATGTATATGAAGATATATATTAAATTACATAGAGTTTCATTTATTAATTAGATAAATGGAGCTATGTTAAAGGTAACTATATTTATAGGCAGTCAGACCATGCAATTCATGTTGGTTTTAAGCAGTATGTTAGCAAAACAAATGCTTTGTGAATTCAGGTTATTCGTTGCCTTAGATTTCTGGGTCAGGACCTATGTTTTTTCCCAGAGTAATGAAACTTGACAATAATAGGTTTCTATTTCATGAATCAAAGCTACCATGTGCTATCACAATAAAAACATCAGCACACACTCTTGTAGAAACAGTCCTTTTCAGAGACATTTTGCCTCGTGCTTTAGTGTGAGCTGTATTGGTACTTGAGAATAAAATATAGAGTACTAAAGTGTAGCACCTAGCAACAGATTTTACAGAATTTGTCCAATATTAGTACATAATTTTGGAGACAAATATATTGGCTCTATCTAGAGTGGTAAAAATCATTCCTTTTGCTTTTGTGCTACAAGTCAAGTATATTAATGAAGATTCACCCATGTATGTAAGAATACTCCTCTCATATATACCCCATCCATACCTGCTAGGATATTGCCCTTGCATAGTTGTTCCTGTACATGGAAACCTAATTGCATTTAATTTCCAAATACCTCATAAGAAGAGAATAAAGATAATAGTTAATTCCTTTCACTCAGATCTTGCTTAAAACACAACTCAGACTTTGTAACGTGGATAATATTTTTGGCCTCCTGAAATCTGAAACATTAAACTGCTGTTCTTTCATGTTTTTGGAGTTGGCATAAATTGAAGCCACATGAAGTATGTTTTACTCCAGTGTTTCTCTATTTAAGGAAAAGTTAATCAGTAAGATAAATCTAGAGATAGCAAATTTGTTGGGAAAGACATCACGTGCATGATCTCAATCTTTGCAAGAAGCACCATCCTCATTTTTTGCCCATCATAATATGAATTGCCATTTGCAGGTAGAGTCAATCACAAGCTCCATCCTCCATCGATGATTAATTCATTACCAGTCACATAGGCAGACTGAAATGACATAAAATAAACAATGATTTCAAGTAATTTTTCACAACTCTTAATTACAGGGAAACACATTTTCTTTAAATTAAAAAAAATGTGCTTTCTTTTTGTAAAACAAAAATAAGTGTATAAAAATACCTGAGTAACTAATATACTATCTAAATAGAAACAAACATAGAAATTGAAGCCTTTTACTTAATTCAAGGAAGTGTGACAAAAGTATTACTAGAGGCATTAAGATGAGACTGCATCCTGAGAGTACAAATTTATAAAAGCTACATTTCAGATATCTTACCTGAAGGAGTAAATACCTCACACTGTGATGTTAATTAGGTCTGTTCAGCTGAGCAGAATCTGACCAGGTCAGCCAATAATTATAATGGGACATAACTAAAAACTTAGATTATATGGACATGGGATAAGCATCTGAGCTGTTGACATTCTTCCCTATGTTACTGCTGAAACATGCCAAATATATTGAAAACATGGAATTCTATTTACACACCATTGAAAACCCTGTGAGCAGACTGGAAAAAATTGTTAGCATTATGGAAATACTAAAACAAAGATTTTTGTTTTAGTATTTCAACAATGCTAATAGACTACTGATAGATTACTGATAATCTGATAGTAACTGATAGATACTGATAGATAGCAACATTAGATAGACTATTGATAGATAGCAACATTAATACTGAAATAAATCCATTGAAGTATTTTGACATGGACATTAGGACTGCTGGACACATCCAGACGAGTCCAGTCCAGGTTTTAGTCTCAGTAAATTTATAGCAGCTGAAATAACGTTGGTGTGTGCTCATTAGTGTTGGTGCTGTTTGCAGTGCTCATCAGGAGTCTGGTGTGTAACAACCACAGCAGGTCTGTTGTTTTTCTTATGCTGGGATGGCAGATTTACCCTGAGCATTAGCTAAAATCTTCAGTAGTTCTACTAATTCTACCTCCTTAAAACATGATCTAGCCATGGTGTGAGCTTGGTAAAGCTGACAAGCTCATTTTGTTCACCATTCAGGATGATCTGGAGTCAGTCAATTTGCTCAGGTGACATGAAATTACCAGGCTATGGCACCAAATAATGCCTTGCAATCACTGTCAACATTCAGAATGCCTTTTGTATTGCAGGATAAACTCTGTAAAAGAACATAGTTTGGTTTTTATTTTTGTAATAATCCAGCTCAAAGAGAATGTAAATCGGCCTGAAACAAGTACCCTCTCTACTGTGATGCAGCAAAGTAGCGTGGGATTCTGTGACAGGACATTTTATTGTTCATACTTACTTCATCAGAGGCCAAGTACACAAAGAGATGGGCCACTTCTTCTGCAGTAGCCATCCTGCCAGTCTTCTGTCTGGCTAGAAAGTCTTTCAGTGCCTGGATATATAAGAGCATTTGGTATACCAAAAATAAAAGCCCAATTATTTTTTACCTATTGACATCTACAAAGCAATATTGGAAACAGGCCTCTAGTCATAACTTCCTTTAGTACACTAAGTAGGAAATTAAAGCTGGAAAAACAAAATCATCAGGGATGTGAATTTCAGGCTGAAAAAAAATAGGTGACATTTAGAAAGCAGCTAAATCTCTGCTTCCAGAATAAAGCAAATAAAATCCTTCTTCCTTTGGTGGTAGATATTCCCATGTCCTGCAAATGAGAACTTGCCATTATATGATAAGGATGGTTAAGCATCCCAAATAACATTGAAAAATGCATAGGCCAGAACGCCCTGTCTATACTGTTTTTGCACTTCCTTGTGGCTGACACATGACACAATAGAAAATGTCCTTTGCTTTTGCACTGGATACTGTAACCAACACTTGGAGTTGCTTCCATGGATGAGAGCCCCTCTACATTCAACTAATCAGTATTATCCTGAGGCTTCAGTTCTGGTCTGGCCATAAGGCTTCTGTCTCAAGTTCAAGCTGACCACACTTTCAAAGGAGACATAATACTAAGTTATCCACACTACTCTGAAACTATTCTTGAATATGGGCAGAAGTGCAGCTATATATTCTTTTTTAAGGAGAGTTAAACATACATACATGTGACCAAGGTAATAAATTGTTTTCTCACCTGTTCTGGGTTAGGCCGGGCTTGGATTCTTTCCTGTAAAGATGGTGTGTCAACAGTTCCTAAGAACAATTTTAAATTCAGTGTTAAAAATTAACTGCATCAGCAATCACAACAAAAGTTTACTTGTTCTATTTTTATGTCTTAACACTTATGTGTAACTTAGTAATATAACTCAGGAGAAAGACTGCAAAGCCACCAATAGAGCACAGAATTTTAAATTTCCATAGAAAGCAAGAGTTTTGAGAATTAGATTCAATATCTTTTTTATGGTTAAACAATGGTCAGACTGTTAGCTAGCTCTTGCCTGCTTCTAACTTCTGAGACTGCATCTTTGAAAAAAAACATTCAAATACTGCATGATGTATGTATAAAGTGCAGATACTGGGTTAATCAGACTAAACATCCAGTTAACCACAGATTAACAACTTTACTATATTAAGCCTTTCAAGCATGCTCTGTTCTTGTAGACTGCTGGTAACTTTAGCTACCATTTGCAAGTCTATTCTTTGCAAAAAAAGCCAGACTCAATCTGGCCTTGTAGCATCTGCTCCTAGATCACAGGATAACGTAAGAACACTTACCAGGACATATGCAGTTGCATCTGATGCCTTGTTCAATGAAATCAGCAGCCACAGCCTTTGTTAGCCCAATAACTGCTGCCTTTGAAGTACTGTAGACACACCTGTTCACAACTCCTAGCAGAAGATCCGTGTTAAGGCAGCACAGAAACAGAGATAAAAAGGAAAAACAAAAGAAAGAGTCAAGATTGTTCAATATGCACCTGCTTCTGGAATCCAGCATTTCCTGTAGCAGCTGTAGCCTCTCCATAAGGGTAGGCTAGCTGAAATGCAAAATGCCAGAATTCTACTCAGGTATACACCAGAGGAAAGTACACAATCTTTCAATAGTGTAACTCTGGGGAGTAGTCTAGAAAATGTAACAAGCAGCAAAAATTTAGGAACAGCAGAAATCCATCTGTTAGTCATGATCAGGCTTCTTTTGAAAGCCTAGTTAACAGCACTTACATAATTGTAATTTCTTTATTATATCTCTGAAGAACATATGTACCAAGATAGGACTGGAAGTAGTATCTTTTTAGTTAATAAATCCTGGCAGAAAGAATGCTACAAAACATTGAAAAAGCTCAGAGGTAAGAATCTTGGAGTTTCTACAATTTTCCATCTCTGTCCTTGCATTTATGTTTGAGTTGAATGTGTTCACTTGTTTTTTCCTAACTGATCCCTCCACAGGATTTAGAAATAGCTTTGAATTTAGAATGTCCTCTAAATTCAAAGTTTATACAATATTTATATTGTATATCCATCACCTTAAAGATTTATATGAACTCCAGCAAGCTACTGACCTTTGATACTGGATGCCACAGAAGACATATTTATAATATTTCCAGATTTCTGTTTAAGCATCTGCAAAAGAGTACTTATGTCACTCAAATGCAAACTATTTTGTCATCTGCAGGTTCAGCAAAACAGCCCACAGCAACTCACAGAACAGCCCCACATGCACTTGACACACAGGGCAGCAAAGCTCAGTTGGCATGGGTAGGTGCCGTTGACTGAAGCAGTAAAGCAGAGTCTGAAATTCTCACTCGGTTCCCCTGAGCCATGTCAGGATTGCAAACTATGCCAGGATAGGATGTTTTTCCTTGGTTGCCACCTCTCAGGCATTGCCCTCTTGTCACGACAGTAAGTGACACCATACAGACATCTGCACACACCATCTACCAATGCAGCAACTCACTGATCTCACTCAAACTCTTCCTGTATTGGAGAAGACTAAAGTCCAAAACTCTAGCATCTATGAATTGTAGCTAATTTTCTTTAAGCTACAACCTTTTTAGGCATCCTAAAATCTGATATGCTTGAAGTTCTTAAAAAAACCCAAACTTTGAAAATTAAGTTCAGCTAAGAAAAAACTCACCCCCAAACAAACTAAAAACCAAACTAACCAAGCAAAAAGAACTGGAACAATACTGGCAAGAGGAGCTATCATCTAATCATGGTCACAATTTTCAAATCTGGTCTTTGCATTTATGGGAATGCAAACACTTTATTCAGTCCACACACTTTTGTAGACCCAAGCCAAGTGATTATGTAAAACCAAGAAGCATCTTCAAGCTGCTACATTCATTGAGCTGTTGTGCTCTAATCAGCATGTTAGTATCAGCATTCCTGAATTTTTTCACAAGGTAGTCTCCAGAGCTGTATAAAATTAATATTAATATAGATGATTTATTAATAATTTGTAGCAGTGGTATTGTGCAGCTGTGTGCTGTAGTATAATACATTAACACTGTATTGTAATGTCTCCCTCACTGCTCTGCATTAAGTCTGAAGTATTTTAGCTAGTTTACATAGGCCAGCTCCCCAAATAAATCTTCTCTACCATATCCTTTAGATAAATTGTCTACTTGAAATATTACGCAATGCAGAGAATGTTATACACCAGCATCACTGTAATCTAAGGGCTCCACTATCCAAAGTGGCATTCTTGTATTTTGTATATTGTCACAGTAGCAACAATTGAGATCTGTCATGCTTTAAACAATGCAGCAGAGACTAAAAGTCACAGGCAGCCCAGCCTTGCCTTTGGAAGGAATGTCTTTATCATTAGGTACATGCTGCGAACATTGAGGTTCATCGTGAAGTCCCAGTCTTGCTCCTCGCACTCCAGAATGGTTCCATGATGAACAAACCTAGAATGAGTGCATGAAGTGGATTACTGTCTGTGGTTTACATTTCTATGGCCCTTTTTTCCACCACTGCTTTGCAGTAATTAACTTTTCCAACCTTGAAAACAGGCAGATAAGAGCTCCTTTGAAGAATGCAAGCAGCAGTGTATTTCTTCTGATAACTATCAAGGACACAAAGCAGACTCAATATGTGCAACAAAATGACGGCAATAGAAAAACCACAAAAAAAAAAAAAAAAAAAAAAAAAAAAAAAAAAAAAAAAAAAAAAAAAAAAAAAAAAAAAAAAAAAAAAAGGCACAGCACTAGCAAACTGTACAAAGGGCCAAAGCCATCAGTACATCCTTCCACATCAGTAGAGTGAGCAAAACATAAAGTTCCAGAGCTGTTCTGTCTTGGCCTATGTGGCTGTACAAAAAAGTTCAGCTTTGATGAAAACACACGGAAGTTTTTATTAAGAGTATAAAAAAGTTCAGCTTTGATGAAAACACACGGAAGTTTTTATTAAGAGTATAAAATCCATTAAAATATAACAAATAAAATGCATTGAAGTAATATAAAGGAGTTCTGGAGGACAGGGAAAACTAGAAAAATAGCAGTAGCAAAGAGAATCTGGTTACCCTGCAATGTTACAGAGGATGTCAATCTTTTCAATCTCCCTGGCCAGATTTTCGATCTGCTCCTTTTTGGTGACATCCAGAACTCGTATTTGAATGCCTAGAAAAACCACAACATTTGTTTCAATGTATTTGATTGAGGATTAGCTGAGTATTTTTCTGATATGCTGAGGATAGCACAGTTCAATTCACTCAGTGATTAAGTTAGTACAGTGGTTAATTTGGGACAGCATATCATGCTATTTAAAATTTCAGGAGGGAGTTAAAATTACCAACTCTTTTAATTGTTATACAGTATGACACAAGCAGATGAGCTAGCTTAATTTACCATAAAAACATTCAAAATAAATTGAATTCTACTATACTCTTGCACAGAACAATTATAGAATCTATATAATCATAATGAACTTTCACACTCATTATCATAGAATAACACCTGGAACTAGTTACATGTGTCTTACAGTGCCACTACATGCCACATTCTCATGTGTAGTTGATGATATTATGAATGAGCTTTATATAATTAATAGGGAAAACCAATTTTGCATAAGCTATTAAAATAATGAGGGCAATCACTCTGGAACAGGGTCCTGCAGAGGAAATGCCATCCTTAGACATGTTCAGAACCTAATTAAACACAGACCTGAGCAACCTGCTCTAACCTGTGCCACTTTGAGCACTAGATGGAACTACATGACCAACCCAGCAGATTCCATGAAACACTGTAAAGCTGTCTGTAAAGCATCCAAGTGCTGTCAAAGGAGAATTTGATTTGAAATTGATGAAACCCTAGGGTTTTTTGAAACCAAAGCAACAAGCCCATGAGAAGGCTTTCTGTGCCTTAGTTAAATGATAGAGACACTTTTGAAGCGATTTGTGTATTTGATCAGACTACAGGCTGGTGACTAACATCACATTGGAATTACCACTCCTGGATAAAATTCAAAGACCTCAAAGTGCCAAGTCTTGGTGAATTACAGATTGATTAATCATATGTCTAAAGGATGGAAATGGCTCTGAATATATAGAAATTTATTTCTTTCCTTATGAGCATACTGGCAGAGGAAAAAAATGTAACATTTTCCCAAATACTTTCAGAAGGAACCTGAAAAGCCCTCAAGTTCCCAAACAATTGCAAAGGGATTTCTTGTGAGCTCCAGTTGGAAGAGCCTGATATTCATGCTAAAACCTGTGCCAGCTGTGATTTTGTGTATTTTGCTCTCAGCCTTTAGTAGGAATTTTTTAAACCTACTTTCTTCTCTCAAGTTAAGTTTGAAGCATTTTCAGCTGTAAATTCTTATCCAAGTCTTATTTTTATTTCAATATTGAAAAAATACTTTTTAATATAATGTCCCACTTGTGATTAGAAACACATCTATACAAAAACCTGCTCCTTGAAGCATGTTCCTGTGGTGTCAGTACAAAAACCACCTTCAGGCCTGAACATTTGTACAAACAGAATAGGCATACGTAGTGTTGCTAGAATTCAATTTCTGAAGACATATGGATTCTACAGGACAGTAAGGAATGCATTAAAAGAACAAGCCAAGTATAGACCATAGAAATGCAAGACGCTAGGTCTACCTTTTTGTACAGTGAGATGTTCTCTTGATCAGAGAAAGAAGCATTTCATGCCTTCCAGAGTGATGCCCTTGATAAATTAGCCTAGTGAAGCCAAAAGGTAACTGAAATGGGTGCTATTCTAGCAAACAAATATCAACTTCTTCTGTGACACAAGAAAATCAGTTATTCCACATGTCTGGAATAATACTCTGACATGCTGATGTTGCAATATTTTACATGCTAGATCTCTTATTTCACACCACAGCATAAAGTGATGCAAACATCAAAAGAACTAGTCTGGGTATTTTCTTTTTTTTCTGTCTTTTTCAAGCTTTCCTATCCTCAAAATGTATCTCTGACAGCCTACACAGAACTTGTAAGAGCTGAACTAATGCCTACTGTAGGGCCATTTACCTGGATATTTCCCCAGGTCTTGCAGTTTTGACTCATTGATGTCTGTAGCAATGACTTTGGCTCCTTCTTTAGCAAAAGCCTGGAGAACACAGAAGCAGTTTATTTTTAGATATTCCAGGTCATACTAGAAATAAAATATGTTTTATTTTCAGGTGCTTTTTGGCTTGAAATTGAAGCCAAGCCAAGCTGAAGGCAGTTGATCTCTGTTTTCATTCTGGGCATGTCAGAGAGTTGCACACAATTATGTAACTTTGTGTGATAAGACAGATTCAAGGTGTTTTCCCTAAAGGAAGGAATCCATAAATAAAGTATAAGAACAGTAACCAGACTAAGATAATGGATATTATTGTTGCCTTTATTAGCTGCACTAGTAAGCAATGGGACTAGAATTGTCTGTACTGTTAGATTTAAATCTAACTAATTCAACTCTAATTTAAATCTGTTGTTAAAGTTATGAAATTTGACAGGTAAAGGCAGAAGTCATAAACCAGGATTTTTTTTACAAAATCCTTTGTATCGAAGTAATTGGAATAGAACAATATTAAAAGCAGCATAACTTTCAATATTTAACCAGAGACATTGCTTCATCCTTGATGGTCTCCTCAAAAGCCTTTCTTTTTATTGTGATTACTGATAAATCAACAGCTAACAATGTAAAGTCTGTCAGAAGTATTCTGACATCTTGGACTGTACCCCTAATCTTCAAAATAAGCATCCCAAGTGCAGCTTAAGAGGATAGTGACATTAAACACACCGGCCTTCCATGGCTTGTTGGATATTTACAAAGTGAAACCATCTGGAAGATGCTCCTTGGACTGAGTGATTCACGTAGGAGCCAAGATCAGCAGGCTTCTGTGTTCTCAACCACATGCATGAGAAACTAACCAGTCCAGCATAAATGCTACAGGAGCTTTTCCTGGGTTGTTAATTACATTACAGAGATAATGAGATAACTACTGCATTTTTTATTTGCTATGGAAAAGGGAAGTAGCAGGAGAAGAACTGGTCAAAAGAAGTTACAAGCTAACTGGAAACCTTGAATTCTGTTTAACAGTAATCAAACAAAATTTGTATAGGGTTTCCTACAGTTGCTCATCATGTTGGTGTCATCTGAATTTGGTTATGTCAATCACAAATATAGGTAAAATACCTTGGCTTTACTGTAGGGGATCCTCACAGTATCCAGTGATACTGAATAAAAGGTACAGACAGTACAAACCATATATTGTTAGAAAAGCATATGCAGCTTTCTTCAAATCTTGTTCTTATCCTTGTCTAGCATCTTCACTCAGAGTTGAAGATTTTCATAAATTGGAACAGCACAAAGCCTACATGATATTATTCCCTGACTTTTTCACTGGGTAGTTCTGGGCTCATCTATGGTTTATTAATTCAAGAACTGGTTTGGTGCAGGTATCATTGGACAAACTAGAATGAGAGACCTTGTACAGGCCCAGCAGAACAAACATTTTCCAACTTACAATAGCAGCTGCTTGGCCAATGCCCTGTGCTGCTGCAGACAACAGGATGATCTTCCCATCCAGCCGCCCCATGGTGCTGACCTGCACAGGCACGGGATGGCACAGAAACTTAACAAAGATAAGCAAACATCACCCCCAGGAATCAAATGAAAACATATCCCAAAACTAGACATGATCCAGGGTGTACTGTTTGGGTGTCATGTGACCCTCAGTTATCCAGGGTTCTGAGACAGGGCTATCCCATCTTTTTTTTTTTTTTAGTTATACATAAAGTATCTCAAGAAGTCAAAAGGCATTTGAGCTCAGAAGTTAAGCTTCATTATAACAGAAATTGGATTTTATTTTTTCTTAAATGTGAAAAAAAAAAAAAAAAAAAAGCCAGGATGAAACAGCAGTACAGTGATTTATGATCAAGTGTTTCCACTGTCCATGGTATTCTCAGAAAGCAGGTCTGTCTTCCGTTTCTCTACAAATTTTCAATGTCATAGACTGCAGCACATTCCACACAATGCCTTGGCTTTGGTACCTGCCCTCAGTTGCCTTAGGAATCTTCCAGCACAGCAGGCTCCCAGCCCCAGTGAAGCAAGGAAAGTGTGGGGGAATGAAGCTCCCAGTCTTGCCTCTTGTTCCCTGTTCTCAGGGAACACAGAGTGTGCTTGGGACAGTAGGGAACCTTTAGGAGCTGCTACCTTAGTCTGGGTGGAGCAGCCAAAAGGCAAAATACAGCCCTGTTCAAGTGCTGTGTTACGTTTAACAAAATACAGACAAACAAGTGAAAACAAATGCCGAGTCTCAAAGATCTTCCTAAAAAGTGATGTCCCTGTGTTCCAATCACAGTGTAGTATCTGGAGTTTCTTAATTGCATTCCTTATAAGTAAAACTCCTGCACTTTCATAGTCTTCCAAGCAACTTTGTCTATGTAGATATGGGTGTAGAAAGGTGGCATAAGAACAAAGTCTTTAAATATACACATAAATCCAACACACTACTTCACTGAAAAAAATTTAAATAAAGTTGCCATAATCCTCCCTATGTTAGCAGCCAATGCTGTCCTCTAGAGATGCTTAAATACATGCTGTGACTCAAATTACCAAGTCAAATTGAGTGCCCCACTTTCTGAATAAATTTTTTTTTATTTTGATCAGAAATTCTGTTTTGTTAGATGTTTTTCCTGACAAAAGTTGCAGCAAAACTGTTTTCCTGAAGGTTACACATTCAACAAATTAGACTTCTGAAGCAATGTAATGGAAAAATTTTTTTTCTTTCCAAAAGCCACCTGGATCAGTTTGAGTACTTCCTCAAATTGCTTTAACATGTGGGAAGCAAAATGCATTATGAATACATTTTTGAGTCCAACAATCAGGTTTTATGAACATACTGATTCTATGAAGCATTTACAAATAAATATTAATATAGTTACTTACCAAGAGATCTCAAAGAGCTTTGTTATATTTACCGACCCTTGTACAAAAGGAAGTTCTATGGGCTTTTTTTTTTTTTTCTACTGTGCTTGTTGGGATTTGCTAAATTTCTCTAGACTAACGTAATTTCCTGTTGACATATTGAGATGCTGCCATCTAGTGAACTCAGGATTTTAAAAAAGTGTGATTTTTCTCCTGCACAGGAAAGGATACAGAAGTATGACCAGCATTAGCTGACTTTTACAATGGGAATTCAAGAGATCAGTAGGATTCCCACCAAAAGGCCACAAACATGTTTTTCCAAGCAATTTCTTTTTGTAATATAAACTATCAAATTCCAAAAACTTACGTGATTATTTTTTGTTGTTGTTAAAACTGGTGATTTACCAACGTATCTTTTGTTTCTAGTGGTTTAACATGCATATATTAAAGCACAATTAATACCATTAGACTGAAAAATTCTAGAACAAACCTTTTTAGCTAGAAGTCCACACCAGACTTAAAGCTACCTGAGAGTACTATTAAGGGATTTGGTGTCCTGCCTAAACATCAGTTAGTTTTCAAAAAAGCTACTTCTGTGGATAAACTGGGGCACACATAAACAAACTTCAGTTTATCCTGTCTTTCTGCTAAACTATGATTGCTTTTAAGGCCTTTTAAAACAGCTTACCAGTAAACAAAACCTGTAATGACTTAATATGCTAAAATAATTTATCCTTCTGCCCCTAAGGCTTTTGCCACCCAAATTCAGCCACAGACCTGTTGCAGTAAGTCTCTGCTATTTTTAGTTCAATCCCCATAAAAAAATCACTGAACTTAGTTGTTCCAAGCAAGCAATAATTAACAAAAAAAATCCAATGGAAATTGTATATAGAAGAGGCAGATCTATATATTCATGCCTTCTTTCCCAATTCTGTAAGAAAATAAGTCAGTCTATTTATTAGAACACCAAAATGCTGGTAAGCTAAAGGAAATCTTGTTCATCATAGTGGGAAATAAAAGAAAGTAACAAACACAGAAAACTTCTAACTAACCTCAAAAAACAAAAAAAACCACCAAAAAACCCCACAAACTAAACAAACAAACAAAAAACCACCACCGACACCCCAGCACTTTGCATTTATTCCTGTCAGAAAATAAATACCTGTGGCTGTGGTTGGAAAGAAGACATTGCAGTGACCAACTCTGTAATGGTATTTATTTTATATAAAATAATATAAAATATACCTTGTATATTTTTGGCTCATCATGCCTTTAAAAAGCTTCTCAAAACACATTCCAGGCAAGAGATTGAAATAAATCCTTGCACCTTCTTAGTAGGCCCAGTAGCTGGCAGTTTTCAACCATTTAAAGTAAATAGAAAGTTGGTTCTTTGCTAAAGAAGTACATCCATGAGGTATCTAATCTTCGTGCGACTCCCCCAGTTTCAGTAACTGCTGAATGCTCAGGAACATGTCAGTGTAGCCATTTGCTTGTCAGTTTGGGTGACCCAAACAGGACCTCACATCACAGAGATTTATTCCTATAAGATAAGGATGATGCTTTTGATACCGGTATCTATCTTCCTTAGGTATGACTTTCTCATCTCATGATGATTTCATCCTTTATGGAGTTGATTGCATGTTCTGAATGCCCAACTCCTGTTTAGTTGGCAGTAGAGGGCACAGAGGAGAGGAAAGTGAGGAGGATCTATGTTTCAGACTTCAACCATTTTCTGATAAACTCAAAGAATTACATACAACTCTGACAACAGTAAGCTTCTGCATGAGTAATGGCTGCAGAAGGTTATATAAAGGATGGCGACAAGAAGAATAATAATGATAGAAGTGATGAAATCCATATAAGAGATAGTAATTTGGTAGCATTTAGGCACTGAATGTTGCAGTCAGCATCCTTGGATCGTAGCACAAGTGAACAGCAAAAACATTTTTACATATTTAACACTTAACATTTTATTGTCAATAAAACATATAAAACATACAAAATGTAGGTCTCACAATACAGATAAGTAGGTTAATAAGAGTCCATCTTGTCTCAATGATCTGGTTTGTTTTCCCTTCACTAGAAGGGAGAAGCAGAAGAGGGTGCAGTCCATTGCTTACTATTAAAAAAAAATCCAATACACAACTTCAGACAGATATATTGAAAAATGATGCAAAATTCAAAGTTACTTACGGTACCATAATTAGCTGAGCTGCAGAAACTTTTAAGGAGTTTAAGAGGAACCCTTGATTGTGTGCTCTACAAACAGAAGATCAGTAGCTTCGGTTGTAGTGTCCAAAGAAGTCGAAATTGTGGTGAAAATGCAGTTTCTGTTGGCCTAAAGAAAGTATGGTATAAAAACCACATGCTAAGAAACAAAAAGAATACTTCTTGACAAGTCAACAGCACTCTGAAGATATAAATATCAACACCCCAGAAAAGGGCTGTTTTAGGAATGACAGAAGGAAAAGTTTGAGACTGGGAAGTTTCACAGTAGATTAGTTTGTGATCCATTCCTTTTTTCCATATTTTTCTTCAAATACATTAGCTTCTCCTGGCCATCAAAAAAATCTGCATCCAAACATCTAAGCAGAACATCAGCAGATTAGCAGGTTGTGCATCTTTACTGTGTGCTACAATCAGGGGCTTTATCTCTGTCTGAAGTCCCGAACAAGTGCTTAAGATGTTCTTCTGTGGACTCTGTGCCCAGAGGTTGTGTATCTGTACAGAAGATAAGAACATTAAAGCTTTTCTCAGTTAGACAAGCAGCAGGAATACAGTGATTTAATCTTGATTAGTGTGTTGTACATCAGCTATGAAAGCTTTCCTCTGAGGAGCTTTGTGTTGTGAGGAAAACTGTGCTATTACCAAATTGGCCATCACAAAGCCAACAATGAGTCATGTTCTTTCTGGAAGTCTGCTACTAATACCTCAAAATCTGGCTACTCTTTTAACATGTCTGCTGGGGCCTTCTGAAAATGAGGGCAGAAGGTCACTAAAAGTCAGCAGGCCAGATATAAGAAATATGAAGTGAGGCTGAGGAACAGAAGTTCTCATCAAAACAGGCTATTATTGCAGCTGGAGCCAGGCAGAGTAGCACATGCAACAAAGACTAAAATCTACCATGTTAAAAAACTTCAGAAAAAAGTTAACCAGCAGTTAACTTTATATAGTTGTACCAGAAATCAGTGCTAAACCAATGTAAAGTTTAAAAGCAAAACATTTTAGAGCACCAGCTATCTAATACCAATATTTTGCTGACTCACTTTTAAAAGTCACTCATCAACACTTCCACTGCAGAAAAGGAAAAAAAAAAGTTTGTATATTCTTCAGCAGGTGAAGGATTCATTTTGGTATTTCAATTCTGTAGAGCATACAGAAGCTTCACAGGTCAGATTGTCATCTTTTCAACAGTCATATGACAGACCATTCAGGAAAAATTATCATGCAAGTTTAAGATCTCAGGCCATCCCTTACATTTTGCATCTTCCAATAGTATAGGACACTCCCACAGTTACGCACCTGTTAGCACACCCAAATTGGAATTATCAAAGAAATTCGTTGGACAAGTCAGAGGCAAAGGCTTTGGAAGGTCCTGAGTCACTGTTTCCTGAGAAACAGTTTCCTTGCAGGGTGAAGGCATTTGCTCTTTAAAGAAATAGGACACTGCCTTCTTTGGAGACCTTGGTATTGTCTCTTGAGTAGTTTCTCTTGAGGATCGTTCTCTCCATTTTAGTGCTCTTTCTTTCCATTTCCTGAGTTCCTCTTTCAGCTGAAGTTCATCACTGCAAAGAAAAGAACCCCAGCATTCAATTAAGAAGCATTTAAAGCAGTTTCTTTAAGAAAAAAGTCCTGAACAACAGTTCCTGTATTTTCAGATGACATATGACAGGCATGGCAGTACAATAGCTGTCTATCTTGGTTTCAGAAGATTTTTTTGAAGCTGAAATTCCTTCCAACATACAACTCAAGTCTATCTTCCAGCATTTAAGATTCTTGAGAAAGCAAGCAGTTTAAAGTTCAAAAGGCCTTTATAGCTTTTTGAGCCATAAAACACTAGCTTTAAATAAAAATTTGTGACGTGAAATGCAAAATTCATGGTTACTTGCTTCCATAGTCTCCCAGAAACAAACACTAATGATATACATAAATACAACAAATTATTTGACATGCTGCTAGTCAGCTGTCCACTTACCTCAGTAGAAGGTCATTTTGTTTCTTCAGCTGCAAGTTCTCTCTCTGTAGCTTAGCTTGTTCAGATTTTAGAACAAGTATTTGTGTGCTCTGCACAATACCACTGCCACCACCACAAGTAAGGGGTATTGGAGATTGCTGAGGATCTGCTTCTTTCAGCACTAGAAAACAGATTTATACATTTGTGTGTGCTTATTCGGAGAGTGCTTAAAACCAAACCAATACCAAACCAATTTTTTAGCGTAATCCTTCTTGTGGTCTTATATGTAAAACCTCACTGGGTTACAAGTGCCATTACAACAGTTAGTCTTTTTTACACAAAATACACCTCCCAGTATTCACATTGCCAGGGAAATATTAAGAAACATGACAGATTCCTCACTGGGCCATTTAAAGGCAAACTACTTATTGTTCCAGGTATGTCATAGCTTTGATTAGAACTAGATATTCATATGTCAAGGAGAAAGTGGCAACACGAGTAACCACCACTGCCGCTTATCCCTCCACAAGGGCAAACGTAGCTGGAGAAAAACACAACTGCTGTGATTCTAATGCAGTTCATATGCAGCTGGTGTAATCTACTTTCCACTTCATCTTCCAATGCACTCAGTTCTCCTCATATCCTTTAAGTGCAAGGCCTGCATCTCAATCTGGTCTTCAAACATTTAACCTCAAAACTCAAGTGTTTAACGTGAAAGAGTCCCTTCTATTTATTTTGGATTTACCAGTAACATCTTGCTCTTGGTGTGCTCTTCTCAGTTCTTCTTTTAGCTTTGTTAACTGTTGTTCTCGGTGTTCTGCAAGGGCTTTATAATTAGCAAGTCTATGTGAAGCAGGAAGGGAAAAAAAAATCAGAAAACCTCAGTTTAATAGTTGGTACAGTTTCAGCTGAATTCCAATGAGCAATCAAATACAAGACACACTCATGTTATACAAGAAAAACTACATAAACCTGGTTATCAGATTTTATTTAAAGTGCACCCAAAAGTTGGACTAATTCTTCTTGGTGTACCCCTTCTCTCTAAATGAAATAGAGAATGCTTTCAGTTAGTGCTTTCCCCTTGCCTTCTTTTCAGAACAGTTATTTCATTTTTGGCTGAACACGGTTGATTGAGAAATTTTGGTGGGTGTATAGGGAGAAGTTTTGTAAGCAGCCCAAGGTGCATATAGATTTTACTTTCTCTAACCACCATAAAAACTTACAACACCTCAAGCTGAATACTTACTACTTATTATGTGGGAAAAGAGCAAAGTAGAAACTAAGAATGGAGTAGTTGAGAATTGTAAGAAGATAAAATTTGAACTTACTTCACTTCAAAGGAGTTGGATTGTTTCATTCTTTCCAGATCACATTTTACCAATTGTGTTTTTAGGTGGTCAATTTCTTCTTTGTACAGCTCAGAACCTTTATCTAATTTTGCCTGAAAATAAAATGTTTAGTACAAATAAGGGCTTTTTACTTAGCGATGAACTTAAGGGTTGTTTACCTTGTATCTTTACTATGATCTGCTAGATTTTGCAGAAGACCAGGAGCAGGAAGTTATTTTTCACAAAGGTGGCTCACATTACTAACCAGCACTATAGAAGCAGTTAATATCCTACTCTGGTGTATTACATGCTAACCACATTTTAGCAAGTTTTGCTGACTTCTGGGCAGATATATATCTGGGAATTTTAAATTAGCACGCAACTATATCACATTGAGTAAATAGTTCATGGTTCAGTTTAAAAGTGTTAAATAGTTTGAAGTGTTTCAGAAAGGCATCGCATACAAGTGATAAGTTTCTAGTAGCATAATATGGATTCAAAATGTTGCCACTGAAGGTTGCACTGGTAGAATGTGGAACTGCTTGCTAAACAGGCAAGTGGAATTTACTCAAGGAATGCCATACAAAGCAAATACATTGACTATGGAGAGCTAAGTTTCACCTGTAACTATTGTCAAGCATGCTTTGTGTCTTTCATCAGAGAAAGAAGAGTGAAGTATTTTGCTCATACCTGAAGACTCTGCTTCTCTGTTAAGGCAGTCCTGAGGCAATTATCCATCTCATTCAGTTTGGCTTGCAGTTGAGTGAGCTCACTTGTCTCTGTTCTTATTCTTATCTGAGCTTGTAGCTTGCTTATCATGTCCTCTTTCTCTTTGACACTTTCTCCTACTTCATATATTACATTTTCTAACTTCTGAATTTTCACTTCCATAGCCTATTGAGATATATCAATCACTCAATTATAAGCAGTTATGTTAAAAGACAGTAACAGCAAATGGTCATATTCTTAGGAAAAACTAGCAAAAACCCAAACCAAACACAAAAAAACCCAACACTACAGGCTCTATAGCAACTATTCATGTCCAGGTAACTGTTTTGTGCCATCTTTTAATAGTCTAGAACACTCACATCTAAGAAAAGAGAAAAGTGCTTTGGAGAAGGGTAACTGTGGCATAAAAAAAAATGAAAGAAATGAGTTCTGAATTCCTGTGATTAAATAGAGAATTCTTCTCCAGCTTCATATCTGACATAGTGAATACCATATACTCACAGGAAGCATCAAGAGTATCACCCTATTAAAGTCAACACTTCAAAAGCAAATAAGGCTTTCATATAATTTCTAAACTGAAAACCTATTTATGTACAGAAATCAGGTTATTAAAATAATCATGTTACAAGCAAGAGCTCAAAATTCCACTTTGGAAATAAAAGACCTACTAAAATAAGGTGTACTCTATTTGTATTGTGGTGGCATAGATTTACAGTTGCCATCAATACTTATTTTCAGTTTGGAGTACTCTCCCTTAGAAAGCAAGCATCAAAGAAGTTCTTAGAGGCAAATATTGGTACCTTTTTATCTTGTTCTGCAGTCTTTAATTTATTATGAAGCCTATAATTTTCTTCTTCTAATGCCAGACTGGAAGAGCCACCAGGGGCCAGTTTTTCTTTTAGAGTGTTTAGATCCTGAAGCAACTCTTCATTTTTCTCTTTTCTCTCTTTTAATTCAGCATCAGCATTTTTACTGTAATTAGCAGTTCTGGCATCCAGCTCTGAAGAAAGTTCAAGGAGTATCTGAAAATCAGAAGCATCAGACACCATAATTTTAAATAATTTTTTAATCTGCTAGAAATATGTCAAGTGAAGAAACAGGAAGTACCTTAGCCTGTATTATTTTCATATTCTTGTTCCGGTGCCCTATTTGACAATGCTTGCTGTCAAATGGTAACATTATCACTCAAAAGAACAGTTTCAAGAGAGGGAGGCAGGAAGGGACACAAGAGAAGATAACAGTGTATTGCAGGTTCACCAGTATTTTTGCATTAACTCAGCGTCTAATATTAGAGAAACAAAAGGAACTATATTGGGAAGACTTCTTTAAAGTCAGCCACAGAAAACCATAATTATTCACAGAATTTTCTAACTAGAATATATACACTGACTAAAGGAAATCAAACTTACACATTGGACTGTTCTAGAAACCCACATGTTTAACATGTCAGATAAATAAAAACATCACAATTGTCAGGAAATGACAATGTTTACTAGATTTTTGTTTGCTTGTTAAAAGCTTTGATCCACATAATATTAGGGTCAGGGAATTCTTCCAAGAACCTTGCCAACACTGCAAAATCCCAAAAATATCAAGATTCACTATTGACTCTACAGAAGAAACTTTTTAAAATAGGCTAAACTTAATATTTAATCAGAAAGATGAAATATTGTGAAATTCTGTTCATGATGCACTAAACTCTGAAAAATGCTGTTCAGGTTTCCAAAAGAGGAAAGCAGTAAGCATAAGAAAGAAAGGAGTGTAAATATAAATTTAACTGAGTTTCAAAAATGGCTATAGTACTTTTGATAAAGTTTGGCAAGAAAAGCAACATTTACCAGAATTCAGATTAACAAAACCCCAAATAAACAACCCCACATCCCCTCACATTTATTACCTAGAAAGTCTTCTAGAAAGCAAGTTTTTCACTTTATAAAAAACTTTAAAAATCTTTTAAGTATTCCTACATCTTACAGTTAAAGTATAATTAAGTGCTGATAATAAATGAATGATCATTTAAGAGCCATTTCAGTGTTTTTTTCAATCATAGGCATTCACAGAGTGTTTACACAAAATATATTTCTGATTCCAGAACATTTAATTATACCTTTACTTTAGGAGTCCAGAATTTAAAGACTTGCAAGAGTCTTTCATTATCTTTCTTTAGTTCTTCTTTCAGTTCCTCTGCATCCCAGTGAGTTCCTGAACAAGCTTCCCAGAACTGTATTGTTTCTTTTCTAGCACTTTCTTCCTGCTGTAACTCTGCTTCTATGCAGAGAAGTTCATTTTCCATTTCTGATACATCTTTGTGAATGCTCTTATAAAGGAAAAAAAGGGAATTAAAATTTCAGTACTGGTTTGATTATCATATGTCTAAATACACCTTCTGTCCTCTCAGCTATCAGTATAGCAGGAAATCCATTTTAGCATCTAATTGTCATATAAAAGGAGTTTTGTTAGATTCAAAATTACACCTTATTGGGAAAGCAAGAAAACCTACATTCCTAAAGAACAGGTCATCTTGGTACTGGATAGTATGTATTGGAAAGGGCAAATTAGTAAATAACATTCTCACTATTTTCTAACCTTTTAATTTTATTTTCAGCTGCTTTACGAAGTAAAATCCTCTTATTATAGAACTAGCAGCATAAAAAAATAACTCTACTCCTTCACCCCCTCTTTAGAAAAGTTTTAACAGATAAATCCACTGCCATTAGATTCCCACCACCACATGACCCCATGCCTTGGAGTTTTGGGTTTTTATGTCTATTTTTTTTACCAAATATTACCTCTACATCCAAGTGCAAACTCTGCAGCTCTTCACTGCTGTTTAACTCTTGAGATGATACTTCATTCTGCTTTGAATTAATCTTCCTGAGATATTGAATCTGGGATTGTAGGTCATCTTGTCTTCTCTTTTCCTCAAACAACTCAATTTCATACTTGTGAACAGTAGTGTGGTACTCTCTTCTCTTTGTGCAAACAGAGCTGAACAGAAGCTGTTGCAGAAGCACAGGATGTATTAATGAGCCTGTTTTAAACTGGTACCCTGCATCCACCCAAAATACAGTATTTTATAATTCAATCCTTTTACTCTCTGAACCTCTAAATGCCCAGGATAACTAACACATAACCAAGAAAATCAAGTTCACATGTGCATTATAGTAATGGCATGTAAAACTTTTATCTGAGACAGCACTTTTCCACTACACTATTTTTTGTAGACTCCAAAAAAGAGCCAAGAAGTCTAAAAGGCTCTAGACAGCCTTCAACAAATCTAAACTTTGAAAAACAAAGTGTTCTTTGTTATATTTATTTTCTCTTGGAGTTGTGAAAGGTGCAAATTATAATATTGCTGTGCTGATTCAAAACTTTATTCTAGCAGAGCTCACTAGTTAAATCTTAAGCATCTTTAACCATGAAAGTTAAAAGCCATCTATGGAAAAAAATTGAACCTAAAATGGCTGGGTTAAGTTATAAAATGAGGCTCTTTGGAATATTAGTCAGCTTGCAAGTTAATGGGTAGCTGTAGACATCACTGACTCTCAAGAACCTCACCCTCTCTCTCCAGGCCTGTGCATGTTTCCATGTTGAAACCCAGAAAAAACCCCAGCCCTTAATATTTCATGGTAAATAAAGAAACAGAAAAAACTCTGTCATATACTGTACTTCTGCATATGTTAACAGGAATTCTTTCCCAACTACTCTTAACCTTTTTGCTAATAATTTTAGTCCAGAGGAGAAACTGATTCCAAACTGGGAAAGATCTTCAAGGCTGTCAAATCAAACTACCTGGATAGTTTAGCAGAGTAAGCATGCATCTCCAAGCCATCTTGCATGTCTCTTTCCCCCACAGAGAAAGTAATCTATTATTTGATTTATAGAGTACAGAAAGGAAATTCCATTTTCCAATTAAAATGGAATAACATTAATTAAATAATCCTGTGCAAAACAGCTGAACTACAGTTAAAAACTAAGTTTGATTTACATAACTAAGTAGTTGCAGTTTTCTAAGATTGTACAGCAACTACTATCAACTTATTTTCTCCAATGTATGGATTCTCCAAACCCAAGCTAGAGTAAAATCCTAGCTGTTACCATTGAGAGCTTATTTAAAAAAACCTAAACCCAAATCCAAGTGATATGAAGCATCCACATATTCAGCATTATAAGTTGGTACCTTCAATTTGGTCAATAACTTCTGGAGACGAGTATTCATTTCCTCATTTTTAGTTTGAAGTGTTTTGACTTGTTTACTGTGCTCCAGTGTAAGCTGAGGCAGTATCATAGCTATCAGTGCTTTCTGACTGTTCAGTTCACTCTTTAGCTTAAGAGACACTGTAGAGAGACATTCATATCTCTTCCCCATATTTGGGAATTTCTCAAGAAGCTCCTAAATGCAAGAGAAATAAATGAATTTGTTCATAATAAGGAAAAGTGTGATTAGCTATAAACAGAAACATAAATTACCTGACTTCAGGACTAACCCCTACGGTATGTACTAGTTTTACAACAGGAAAAGTTATGATTAAGGCTTCAGTTTTGACTTGCCACAGGGATAAGAAAAAAACAAATCCAGGCACAAACCCAGATAATTTCTCAGTTTTCCAGCAAGTAATTTCACAAGCTCAAATTCTCTTTGTGGTTTAGATTGCCTGGCCACATCGAGACTTGTAAATCAGGCAGGGAAAAAAAATCCCTATTAGCAAGTTTTCCAGCTGGTCTTCTGTCAGGATGGACTCCCAGGTTTATCTGCTTCTTCTTTCTTGAAGGAAAGGGCTCATGAAGTGGGTCCTAGCACTATGCCATGAAAAGGAAGCTGTGAACAAGCAGTGAGCAGGCTCAGTAGCACTACAGGCTTGAAAACCCAGTAAACTGCAACTCCAGAATCATCTTTAATAGTCTATGTTACACATTTTAAAATAAGTATAAAACTCCCCTGACATACTCTCTCCATCATTGCTTCTTACTTGAAAGAATAAAGATTCACCAGTTTTCTTAACTCTTCACCTCACAGTAAAAACACTGGAACATTGGGAAGAGGCAGACAAGATCCTATATACTACAGAAGTCAGAAGGGGCGAGTGCTCTTAAAAGGGGTCAGCTGATGTTAACTCCATTATGATTTAACTTTATAAGCTGTGCTGGTATTTTGTTTTCCATTGATTTGTGGTTCTTAAATAAAGTTCTATGTTACTGTAGTAGAGTTTAAACTCTGCTCTTTGTAGTTTAAAGGTTGTAAGGACTTCTTTTGTTGAATTGCAGTTTATTTCTTCATTGTAATTTAGTACTTTGGGTTTTGTAGGGCTTTGTTGTTGGTTGTAGTTTACTTTTTCATTGTAATTTTATTTCTTTTTGTTTGGGTGCCAGATGTGACAATGTAGAGCAAGAGTCCCCAGGCAGTGCAAAGGAGAGCCCTTTACTGCAAAACCCAGGCCTTTTTAAGCAGTTAGCCAGTTATCAGTTTACACAGCTTTAAGGCACAACAAGCCCAAGTCAACCAACCACCATACACCACGATGGGGACACGTGGCAGTCACACGGCACGTGTCTCACGTCTCTGTACCCCACTGTACCCCTATTCCAGCTGGGTCACTCTCCCATAGTTCCCTGCTACCTAGCCAAAGTAGCAGGCCTGAGCCACGATTTTACAAGGTTAACAAGGCCCTTATTTTATAAGGCTTTACCTATATGCAACAATACACATTCATAAATCCTGGTTTATTTTGGCTTTTGGCAGGTTACTAGTACTTCTCATATCTGTGAAAATATACTCAAAAGGTCTGAGGAATTCCTCATTTGATGGCAGAAGCACTTTAATGAAATTATTTTATTTACATCAATTTAGTATTTGATGGGGAATAATGGAAGGGAGGATTTGGTGGGGGATTTTACAAAACCAAAATGGCAAAGTGCTTCTGTTTGAGGTTCAACAAAGGGAACTGCCAAATCACAACACGCCCCCATGCAGTCCTACATGCTGTGGGAATAGTGTCTGGAAAGCTTCCCAGCAGGAAAGGACCTCGGGGGCACTGGTCAACAGCTGGCAGAACATGAGCCAGCATGTGCCCCACTGGCCAAGGTCATCCTGGATTGTGTCATCAGTAGTGTGGCCAGCAGGACTAGGAAAGGGATCGGCACTAGCAAGGCCACACCTTAAATCCTCTGTTTAGTTCTGGGCCCCTCACTACTGGAACATCATTGTGGTGCTGGGGAGTGTCCAGAGAAGGGCAATGGAGCTAGGGAAGAGTCTGGAGCACAAGTCCTGTGAGGAGTGTGTGAGGGAATTGGGGGTGTTTTTGCCTGGAGAAAAGAAGACTGCAAGAAGACCTTACCACTCTACAACTGCCTGACAGGAGGGCGTAGCCAGGTGGGGGCTGGCCTCTGCTGTCCAGTAACATGTGCTAAATTGCACTAAGGGAGGTTTAGACTGATTATAAGGAAAAAATTCTCAGTTGAAAAGGCTGTCAAGTACTGGAACAGGCTGCCCAGGAAAGTGGTGGAAGCACCCTCCCTGGAGTTACTTCAAAGATGTGTACATCTGGCACATAGGGACACAGTTTAGCAGTGATCACGGCAGTGCTGGTTTAAGGGTTGAAATGTATAATCTAAGAGGTCTTTTCCAACCTAAGTGATTCTATGATCCTACATGACTAGATATCTTCATTGGGGGCTGGACAGTAATGAAAGTAAGTGAGATATTCTGTGAACATTAAATTGATGTGCAATCACTGAACAATAACAGCAAATCAACTGATCCCATGGTATAGAGCATCTTAGTAAGATATGCAAACCAAACCACTTTATACATAATGCACAAAAGGCTTATGCTTCATGTTGAGTGTCATTAAGTTCCTATGTGCATCCTTACAACAAACAGAAAAATAAGCTTACCTTAATTTTCAAGGTTTTTTCTTTCAAGTTGTCATCAGCCACCTCCTTTGCAATAGCCACTGGGTCTACCTGAATATTGTTCAGGTTTCTCTGCTTCAGTTGTTCTAAAGCATCTTCCAGTTTTGCCTTGGTTTCAACACACTAAAATAAAAACACACTTATTTAAGTAGCAGTCAAGACCGGAAGTTACGAGTCACTCAGGTATGCTAATTGCAACACTCACCATCTCAGAATTTCTTTGCAATTCTGTCTTGAGCTGGTCCCGCTCAGACCTGACATCCCGAAGAAGTTTTTCTAGCTCATCTTTTTCATGATTAACTGATGAGATTTGTTCTTTAAGTTGTAAAGAGTGACTAGTTCTTTCAGCTAATAACTCGTCCTTCTCACATGATACACTATTTAGGGTCTCAGTTAATTGCTGAATCTACAGTGAATAGTGGAGAAAAACAAATCACAATTTGGTGGTTGCCGTCTTTATGCATCCTATGAAGTAGTCAAATCCAAAAATCACAATTTTTAATTACTATAATCACACCAGTAGAAAGAAAATTTTAAAAATAATTTTAGTGTTCTAAAAACATAGAAAAAAATTTACAAGGAAGAGGAATAGCGTGACACCCAGAAAACTCTACATCAACTTTGGTCTCCTGTAAAACAAGAGGAATCAAAGGAAAAGGCAATCAACCTATACCTACATCACAACAAAATTAAAATAGAAGATGATAATTAAAAATTGACAATGCACTTGTATTTCCTCTACTGAAAAGTAAGATTTGTTAAACTGAAGCAAACCTCAAATACACATTTTGATCTAAAAAGCAAAAATTTTGACAGGTGAAAAGCTCAAAAGCAAACACTATGAAAAGAATGAGTTGACAAGAACTAAATGCAAGACCTTCAAACATAGTCTGGCATTCAGAAAGTGTGCAAAGAACCAAGGATTCAAAACCAGTTAAGTCCATGCTGTCTACAGAGTGCCTTTTAAAAGTTGGAAGACATGTACAAGTACTAATTAAAAATGCATACATATGGAAAACTCACATTCATTTCAAAACTGGAACAATCCAATGGGTTACAAGGTGGAGACCACTAGACAATATCATTACTAAATATCAGAATCCAAACTTAGACAAAATTTTTTGGCTATGTTCATGTTTGTTTGCAAACCATAAAAATGATGCTCTGAGAATTAAAAATCAACAAGTTCATAAAAAAGTTTAGCATATCGGTAAGAAAACATCAGAATACATAATAGTGACTAAACACCAACACTCCTCACCTTGCTCGTTAGGCTGTCCTTCAAAATCTCTGCCTGCCTCTGAACCTTTAGCAAGTGTTCTTCCCTTTCTTTATAAGTCTCTACCATTTGCTGAAGCTCATCCTTCTCCTGGTTAAGTAAAGTGATGCTCTCAAGCTGCTGACACACTTGCTCACTCATTGCCTTTTCAGTTTGTTGCTTTTCTGCCAGGAGGTTGCCATACTCAGCTGAGACACGAGTCAGGTTTTCAGTGACTTCAGTGAGCTGGAAAGAACAAATCCAAACCAGTATTGGTATTTATAGTCACTTCCTGCAAGGCCAAAACTAAATTGATGCCTCAGAGAAAATACAACCATAACGAATGATAAGTTCCTAAATGCTCTTGTGAACCCGGCAATGAGGTTTGGATTGAAGAGTGTTGTTGCATCATCATCCAGAAGCATTGTCAATACCGACGGTTGTTATAAATGGATTGTTTTAAGGAAGACACTATGGCAGTAAAACTTTGGGGGAAGGCCAAAGACAAAATTTTGCTGAAAAGCTCATCAAATGTCAGTGCTTCTGGCTCAGTGGAAGTCAAAAGTAAAATGGAAAAATACAAGACATTCTACGTCCATAAAAATGCCCCTGTTGCTGTATCCGTATGAGACATCACAATATGCTAAAATGAAGCCTACAATCCAGTGTCTTCAGAAATGAAAACAAGGAGTAGAGAACAAATTCATAATAGTGAAACAAATTAAAGAATGAGTTAAGCTTCACGAAATTGCCCAAAGATCTTCAGAATTAGAGAGTCAATTTACATTATTAGAATGCATAAAATTTAAGACTGGGAAAATAGAGAGAAATTAAAGTGCATTGTTGATTTTAAATAATGGTCAGCCATTTAGAACCCACACATAAATATAATGGGTTTCTTTATTAGATGTACTAGACCCCTAGGAATGGATGTCTGCAGTAGACACGGGCAGCCAAACCCAGCAGAACTTGTAATTTTCCTGACAAAACTGCTTCTGACCTTCTGCTGCAGTTCATCAGTTTTTTCTTTCAATGCCTCTTGCACCTTCGAGAGCATGCAAAGCACCAAAGATAAAAAACCCAAGTAAGCCCATGCTGTCTAAAAAGCGCTGTTATAAAAGTTGGAAGACATGTTCAAGACCTGAATATTGTGTTAAATATGCACTCATCAGATAAATTCACACTCATTCCAAAGCTGGAGCCATTCAATGGGTTACAAGGCGAAGACCACTAAACAGTGATATTACTAAATGCCAGTAAAGCAACTTAGACAAAATCCTTTGCCCATGTTCACACTTGCTTGCCAAACACAAAAATGACACCCTGAGAGTTAAAAATTAAATAGGATTGATATGGAGACAGAATTTGGCACACCCGTGACAAAACGTCAGAATACATAATAGAGACTAAACACCAACACCCCTCACCTTGCTCGTTAGGCTGTCCTTCAAAATCTCTGCCTGCCTCTGAACCTTTAGCAAGTGTTCTTCCCTTTCTTTATAAGTCTCTACCATTTGCTGAAGCTCATCCTTCTCCTGGTTAAGTAAAGTGATGCTCTCAAGCTGCTGACACACTTGCTCACTCATTGCCTTTTCAGTTTGTTGCTTTTCTGCCAGGAGGTTGCCATACTCAGCTGAGACACGAGTCAGGTTTTCAGTGACTTCAGTGAGCTGGAAAGAACAAATCCAAACCAGTATTGGTATTTATAATCACTTCCTGCAAGGCCAAAAATAAATTGATGCCTTAGAGAAAATACAACCATAACGAATGATAAGTTCCTAAATGCTCTTGTGAACCCAGCAATGAGGTTTGGATTGAAGAGTGTTGTTGCATCATCATCCAGAAGCACTGTCAGTACCTATGGTTGTTATAAATGGATTGTTTTAAGGAAAGTTTACTGCTGTAGTAAGCCAAAAAAGACAAAATTTTGCTGAAAAGCTAATCAAATGTCAGTGTTTCTAGCTCAGTGGAAGGGAAAAGTAAAATGTGGAAAAACGTGCAAGACATTCTAAATCCATAAAAATGCCTCAGTTTCTGTATCCACAGTTGACATTACTGAGTGTTAAAAATGAAGCCTACAATCCACAGTGTATTCAGACATGAAAACAAGAACTTGAGAACAAATTCATAATAGTGAAACAAATTAAAGAATGAGTTACGCTCTCCTAAAGTTGCTCAAAGATCTCCAGCATTAGATAGCCATTTTACATTATTAGAATTATAAAATTTAAGACTAGGAAATTGGAGAGAGGTTAAAGTGCATTATGTGCTCCAAATAATATTCAGTCATTCAGCACCAAGACATATTTAGTTATAAAAAATGGGTTTCCTTATCAGATGTATGAGCCCTAGAAAAGGAAGTATGCAGTAGACACGAGCTGCCAAACCCAGCAGAACTTGTAATTTTCTTGACAAAACTGCTTCTGACCTTCTGCTGCAGTTCATCAGTTTTTTCTTTCAATGCCCCTTGTGCCTTCAAAAGCTGATTTTCTTTCTCTGAAATATTTCCTTTCAGCTCCACAATCTTCTCCTGAAGTTGTCCAAGAGATTCATGAGTACATCTCAACTCTTCCTGCATCTCAGAGTTCTTTGGACACAATTAAAGTACATTAACACCTGAACAACACTTGCAAAAGCTAAGCAGTCTACTAAAGCTGTTCTCCTATGGGAGGAGAACTACTTTTATTACCTTGCTAATTGTCTCCTGTAGAGTTTCTTTAAGCTGGTCTTTCTCATTCTGGAGATTTTCCAGTTGTATTTTAAAATCCTCCTCATCATCATCATCTCTTTCTGTCTGGGTGCTGACTTCCTCGGAGTCATGTGGTTTTGGAGTAACATCTGCTCTCTCCATTTTTACAGATTCCCCTTGATATTCACTGGCCTTGGCTTCCTCCATTTCATGCAATCTCCGTTGTGCCTGGTTCAGCTCTTCTCTCAGAAGAAATAACTCTTGCTCCATAGATTGTCCTTGAATCTGTGGTATCTATTTTGTAAGAGATTCAAATAAACACATTCAGGATGCAGCTTTAGGAAAAACTCATCTGACACCACAGACAGGATGATTATGTACAATAATCAGAGCCACTGCTATAAAAGCATACACAGAGAAGTGTAATCAGCACATCCCCTTACATCAAATGTTGCTTGCAATGTCCCTTTCAGTGCCAGGAAAAAAGTCAGTTCTACCTACGCTTTAGAGGAGTCAAAACACCCTTTTCAGATGAGCAGTTTTTAACTTCATCTACTTAATGATTGAACATTCCTTTGCCGATCAGTACAGATCATAACTATCCTGTATCAAGTTAATACTCTATTTATAGACATTCTCCTATAGAGGTGTATATATATATAAACACTATGGGTGGCCTCTATCACAAGTAATCCATAATAAACTTGGATTTTTAAGGTGCAGTCAATTTCCACGATTCTTTTCTGTACCATGTTTTGCAAACATTTCACTGAAGCAAAAGTTTAAGTAAGCAAGCTTCCCATTACAGATTTAGCATAATTACCGAAGTTCCTTCCCCAAGCTCCTCTGTTTTCAAAAGTAAACTGTCCAGCTTCTCCTGCAATGAATGGTTCTCTTGTGTAAGGAATATTATTTGTTCCTTTTGCAGCTGAAGCTGATCACTTTCTCTACAGATAGTACTTCCTGATTTCTCCTCAGCCAGCTGATCTCTCTCTGATGTGATGATTTTCATTTCTTCTGTCATTTCTGAGATCTATTTAAAAAAAATACAAAGACAGCATACTCATCAATTCAATATAAAATTAAATGCCAAATTTTTGTTTGATTCTTTCTCCTAAAGTATTTATATAACAGCCTTCTGCAGTGTGTTGGGATCTGAGCTGCCATTGACAACCACGTGTTATACTTCTCATTGGGACTGTTATAAATCATGAAATTCCTTTTTTAAATATAAATCAGCCTCATTTCTACACTTAAGTAACCCTCATCTCCTCTTCCATTTCCCATCCAATGCCACCACTCAAATCCACAACCATGTGGCACACCAGTTAAGCAAAGCTTTATTGACTATACATTACATCTTGAAGGTCTACAGAAACAGCAGCAGCTGGTCAAGACTTGGATTAAGCAGTACTCTTTTTCCTGCCCACTTGCTATCAAGAGCCTAAAAAGTTTAAGGACATGCAGAAGAGACTATAAGCAGATTAACTGGGCTTGTTTTCATTACTGCATAAGGTTTTACCCGTATTTGGAGTTCTTCAATGGTCTTCCCTAGTGCTTCTTCAACATTCACAATCTGAGATTCTTTTTCAGAAATACTTTTTTCCAACTTCTTGACAATTTTCTGGGATTCCTTCAGAGAATTTTGTGTATTTCTCAAATCTTCATGTGCCAAGATGTTCTTTAGAATACAAGAGAGAAAATCCACAAAGAAAATACATGCATTTTGTAATATTAGTAAGCATTCCTTAATTAAAAACGACCACACAAACTCCCACTCCCATATTCTTCTAAATATTTTAATATAGTTCATAAGTTTTTCTCCTACCATTGAAACAGTGTCCTTTATATCCTCTCTGAGTTGCTCTGTCTCAGCTTGGAGAAACTCCCCTTTTTGCTTCAGGTCATCTCTTTCCTGGGTTAGAGTTTTTATTTCTTCCTGACATTCTGTAAGCTGCTGCAAGACTGCCTGGATCTCCAAATCTTTTGCCTCAATTCTCACTTCACTAATCCTTTCTTCCGCTTTTAATTGTTCCAGTTCATTTAACTTCTGCTGAGTCCGAACAAGATTTTCTCTTAGCTCAAGAAGTTGTTTTTGATCTGCTTCTTTCTCTTCCACTTCTTTCATTTTGCAAGAGAGCTTTAGTTTGCAAAGGAAAAGGACAGACACTTTCATTGTAATGCAGAACTCCATTATATGTACATGTTCTCACAGATTCTTTTATGAGCTTAGAAAGGAAGAAAGATGCTAGCTAGCAAGGTCATTTCTCTCTAGGTCACTGCTTATACTCTTGCCCACAATAAATAAGGATTTGTTTATGTCACATTACAGGAACCTTCCTGTGTTGGCTCCTTAGGAGTGAAAGTCTTACTAAAACATACACATCAAACTGTAGCATAGCTTAGGAATTATCAAAACCATAGCTGGGCCCAAAGCTTTGTTAAAAATACATACGCTTCACTTCTTTTTATTTTTAAATGTTTTATATTTATTTTTCCATTCTAATGGCCAATTTCTGTGTTGATTCTGTCTGGTTTGAAGGAACTCCTGTTCTAACAGGTCTCCAGATACCAACAAGTTTCTATGACTTTACATACAGTAGGTGAGAGCAGCATTGATAGGAAAAAAAACTTAAATAATGAAGATATTACTTAAAAATGGAAAAAGAATAATTAAAAGGTTAATTACAGAAGAATCTGGAGCAATTATACGTCTTTGCCTATAAAGAGTCCATTGAGCTGACTAATCATTCAATATACTCCTGGCACAGAATAAGTAATACCCACTCATACCAGAGGAAGCCAGTGATATTGTCATTTACACCTTTAAGATTATTTATCCAAAACAGTTTTTTTAGCACTTTCAATTAATTCCTCAAGTCTCATATGTAAAAAGGAGCAAGCTGACACTGACCTCTAATTTAACTTCATCCAAAATTGTTTTAGACTCTTGTGCTTCTTTAGATAGGCATTCTATTTGGAGTTTCATTTGTTCATTGGTTTCTGATGCAGCTATGTATTTTTGTTCTACTTCTTCATGGAGCTGTTTAAGTGCTGTATATTCCTCATCAGACTTCGTATATTTCAGTTGTAGATCTGTGAGATTGTCTTTTGATTTTTCAATTTCTTCAGACATATGTTTAAGTCTCATTTCATTATCAGCTACTTCAGAAAGTAGCTTTTCATTTTCCAATTTTAATAAGCGTAACTCCTCACATGTTTCAAGAATCTGCCAACAGAAAAACATTATTAATATATAATGGTTTCTAAATCAGTATTTGGTAGAACTACATAATAAAAACCAGGTACATGTGAAGATGTAGGAAATAAAGTACAGGCAAACATACACAATACATTGGGTTTTGCTCTGTTGGGATGGAACTCTCTAAGAAAGAATTTTTAAAAAAGAAGGATTCCCAAGACCCGAAATCTCTAACTCTTCAATACTTTCTATTTCCTATATTTGAGCTAAGACTGGACTCCTAAACTGAATTTATACATTTATCAATGCTTTCTTCATAATACTGATCCCTTGGACTGGCTACCTAGAACAGAGACAAGGCAGAGTTAGAGAATAAAGTGGGTATTTATTAAAGGCCTTCAAAGGATATACCTTGGGTAGTGCAAAAGCCTGGCAGAAACTACACTCAAGATGGACAACAGTCACAAGTTCTCAGACGGATAGAAGTTTGGTCAGTTTGCATATCAGAGGTTAATTGTTCAACTATAGCTTCAGGTAAAAGTCACATTTCCCCAGTTTGCTTCTCCCCTGTCCCTGATTCACTTTTGTTTCTATTTTCCAGGGCCTGAGGTAAATGGTGTGACCTTTGTTCCCAGGCCCAGAAGGACTGTTCAGTCCGAACAAAATGTGAAGAAAGCTAACTAGTGTTTTGTATAGAGTTCAGAGTTATACACTAATGCATTACAGAATCTGAACAATATAGAAGCTAAAAATTTAAGGCATCAACAGAGAGATGAAGTTGTTAACATTTAATTACATTTTGTTGATTAGTGGAAGTAGACCCTTGGAGGTTTGGAATTTTTTGCAAAGCATTAATGAGTTTGCAGATTACTTGCCCTGAATAATTTTCACTGCACATACTTAGTAGCAAGTGGTTTGTAGAACAAAAAACGCTAGAAAGTGTGTGCAAGCAAAGCCTTTAAAACATTTACTGCATACTTAAGTCTACTAACCCCTTACCTGTTAGGAAATAAAAGAGTTTCCTAACAAATTTTCTAGAATTTGCAAGGTAAATCTCTAACTTCTCAAGCAGAATTTCTGCTAAGAGATCTTGACATTTTCTCTTTGCTCAATTACACAAAAAAAAAATCAGTTCTAGAATAGTGCCCAGGATCAAACACCATTTTATCTATACATTCAGTTGTCAGTGGTGACCACAGCAAATAGACATGAAAAGGTTGGACTAGAAAATAAGGCATAATTATAGTAGTCAGTGACTAAACATTAAACTAAACAAACTTATTCCTAGGAACAAATATTAAATATCTTAGAAGCAACAATTTAATAAACTTAACCATAAAATCTCAGGTTGACTCATGACAACTTTTGGCTTTAAAGCTTCATACTCAACAGACCTCTATTAGTACATTACCAGTGAAGTAAAACACAAAACCAAGAAAAAAAGGTTAGATTTTTTTTTTTTTTACCTCTTTCTTTTGCATCTCAACAGTATTTGGTAGAGATTGAAATTCTGATAGTTCATTTACTTGTTTCTGTAGAAGTGCATTCTCTTTCAAAGCATTTTCTAGTTCTCCTTTTAAGTCAGCTGCCTTTTTTTCCAGCCCCACGTGAGAAAGCAAATCTAGAAATTTAAATTTAGACTAATAAGCGAGTGCAAGAGAAAAAAAAATGTTTTAAATTAAGCAGAAGATTTATATTGCATTCTGGATGTCATATAGTTATAATTCCAGAAAAGTACATGTTACTGTTGCAAACAATTAAAAGACTAAGCTCCAGGTCTGAATTCTGTCAGTACTTCTTAGGTTGGTATTCCAGTTTATTTTAGATTCTCTCCAACAGCCTTGATTAACTTGACTGTGCAAAACACTCTGTTAAGCTGCAATTTTCCAGAATGTTCAAGGAAATGCTCAAGTAGTTACTCCATGCCAGCAATACCAGATCCTGGTTGCTTTATACTGACAGAACCTCCATGCATTGAGGAAGACAAGAGCCATAGCCCTGCCTATCCTCCCACCATTACAAGGAAAAGGAAGGAGAGAGGGAGCAGGGAAAAGGCACCACCTGGAACAGTACCTTTTGGAACTTTACCCTCCATCAGTGAAGTTAGTCTTGTGTTTTCTTGAAATAAAGACTGCAGCTCTCTCTGCAAGTCAGCTTGCATTTTTCGGTAACTTGCTTTTCCCGCTTCTACTTGGCTTTGATATAACTGAACATCCTTTTGCATTTGGTTGTAGTTATTTAAGAGTTCATTCTTCAGGAAAACAATACAACATTCAAGTCACACACAGAATAAAAGTCTACGTACTTGACATTTAAATAATGCATCTGGTACATTTTCTGTTGTCACTCTGACCAGCTTTGACATTGATAAATATGGCAGAATAAGGCACAACTTAACAACTGTATTCCTGTCAGAGTCCTCTAACAAAACCTGCCTTAGAGTTCAGGGCCATAATGGCTGCGACTCTTTTGTGTTTACTCTTCCAAAGCTCAAAGTAAGCTCCATCCCACTTCTGAGTCCACATCTCTTATTTTTCTTTGTTCTCTGGTAAAATTGGGTCTTAAGTCTTACATCCTAATAATGCACTAAAGGCTGCTTCTTTAATCTCTCTCTTTCCCTCCTGGTAAAACTAAAACTAACCATCCACTCCTATGGAAAAAGCCTTTACTTTCTTTTTATCTCTTTCCTGGAGACTCATTTTCCACAAACTGCATAAGTATTACTTAGAGTATTTGGAGAAAGTTAATGATGAGTGCTCCACCACACTGATGGTCTTCTTCACAAGCCTGGAAGCAGACAGGCCCTTAACAGCATTTGATATTTGATACAACTATAAATGCAGTTCAACAAGTACTTGCCATCTTCTCCTTCAACTCCAGATTTTCACTTCTGAGAAAAGCAGATTCCTTTTTGGCATCCAAGGCTATGGCTTCACTATCTAAGAGGGATTTATTCAGCTGCTGAATTTCTTCAGTTAGTTTATCACAATCTCCCTGAAAAAGACAACACTCACAGAAGCAAAAATCGACAGAGCCATAATAAAGTAAATGAGTTCATTTTAATGTGGTTAAAATCTAAGTGCAGGCTTAGAAAACTAAGTAAGTTTACTTTAAGGGGAAGAGTAGCAGGTTGTTTGAGAGATTGGAGAAAGAGCAGCATTTCTCATAGCTTAACTTCCCCAGAGTACTGCTCTATGATATGTAGTAATAAAAATTTTAAATTTTGTAAAACACAATTTCCCAAGACCTGTAGGGAAGCAGATGTTCATCATATCAAGGCTATACCTAAATTTAATCCAGCTCAAAAAAACAAAGTAATTTCTCAAACCAATAGAAAACTCAAGTTTACCAGTGCAAAAGATGTCTCCTTTTTTTCCCCTCCTGCTTTCTGTAGTTCTTCCACACGATTCTGTAATAGTTTTATTTTGTTCTCTTTCTCTTTCAGCTGTTCCAGTTTGGAATTTATTTCTGCCTAAAAGTTGGAGGGGAGAAAGAGGCAAAGAAGATTGGAGTGCTCAGTTTGGTTTTTCAGGTCAGAATTTATCAAAACCTACACAGAAAGCATTTGTGTTTCTTAGATACATCTTCCTAATATTTGCTAAGATTAACCCAAGCACAATCATGTCTAGCTTGTCCTCAGCAGATATAGTATTTCAAGCTAAACAAACCAAGCACATTTCATACAAGTCTTACTACCTGTAAATTCATGGAGAGGCTCACCTCAAGTTCCTCATTGTACACTTCAGCATTTGAAACTAGATTCTTTAAGCTGGTAATTTCATGCATTAGTTGAATCTGTGGAGCAAATTAAAGCAAAATTGCAGAGGATGTTAGAAAGCACCCACACCAGTAGTTTTAGTTGCCAACACCATGAAAACAAGCCAGGTCAATTGTGTTTTATTTTTTATTAGTATATACTCACACATCTACTTAAACAGCTACAAAGCAAGATGCTACATATTCTTTCAAAATGGATATATGAGATGCAAAGCTCTGTTTTAGCTCCCCAGTAATTAGAAAGGATTCAAGTACAATTTAATCTGCAATAGTTTGAGAAGCAAGAGCAATGTGATCAAAGCAGTTAATGCAGAAATTGTACACATACAACACTTCAAATTCTAGTCACGTTAAGCAGCTTTTTATGACACAGTGCAGATATTTATTATTTAATCTATTCACTGACAGGAATGAGAAGGTGCCAAAACGGAAGCAAAACAAGCCATGAACACATTTATTAGCATTCTCTCAAAGAGGTCACAAGTAGACGACCAGATAGGAGGTTTTTAGATTTCTCTCTTTTGGTCTCTGTTAGAAAACTTTTACAATAAGCACTCAGATGAGTACTTATGTATAGTCACAAGCAAAGGTAAAAAGATGCAATCTGCAAATTTAATATTAGTGAAAAGCTTTAAAACAAGCTGTGAGAATTCCTATGTAGTTTACCTATAGAAACTGATATATTTAATCTAATGTATTTGGTGAAGTATGTGACCTTTCAGTATTGCTATAAGTAATCTACTACATGGCTATCAATAAATGCTTAGATTTTATTAACTGTTTTCAGATATCTGAAAGCAAATAATTCAAAAAATAGTTCTTGCAATGGAAGCTACTTTAGACATTACATCTGCTATTAGATACCCAAGAACTTTGCAGGGAAAACTGTAACTTAGGATTTGCTAAACATTAGCTAAGGAAGACAGCACATTCAGTCTAGCATACAAAGAGTCTTCTAAATAGAATCTTAAATACAAGCTAGATGGTAATATTTTATGGAACCATTTTCTTTAATATTCATAAATCATTGTAGGGAACACAATGCAAATGAGCAGTGACATTGTTAAATTGTAACCTGAAATAAATATGCAAAAGGATGTAACAAAATTCAACATGGGTATCATGATCAGAAGATATTACACAGACTAATGTGCACAAGTAATGTCCAGCAAAGGTATCAGGAAAGAAAGGGAACAATACACCCACATCTCAAGACCTCGAATTACTGGTTTTGTTTGGAGTTCTTTTTGCCATAACTTGTTTCACAATCCAGCTTTTAGGTAGGTAGAACCTAATACAAGTAGTAGGTATTTTAGACTACAGAATCAGAACATAAACATTATCAAGGAACATCTCCAATAACCACACAAAGAGTGAAGAGAATGGAAAGTTAGCATTTCCTATATTCCAAGTTATCTAGTAGATAACGTCACATTTTTTGTGACTTCCTGGCACAAAATACGATGTTTTGATTTTACTATTACTATTCTTACTATTATTTTAAAATAATTTAATGACTAAGATGAATCATGTTAAAAGTTAATGCTCATGTAGTCCATGGATTACCAAAATGAGCTATCTTGGAATGTAAGACAAGATGTTTCACACAAGAAATATGGGAAATACCGTTTAGCAACCATATTTAAACTTCAAAACAGTACTAAAATGTATTTAAGCAGCAAAACAACTGCCGCACAGAAGTCTAGAGTGAAATTCAGATCACACATTTATAAAAATAACATATAGATACATATACACACGTTTAACCAGGCTTCAGTATGCAACTCTCAAAAAATTTGTCTGAACTCTACACTCCAAGTACATCCAGTTTAAAGCCTGATTTCATTAATTCTGTTGCTGAATGTAGCTTATAACACCATCTGTTTGTGAATCAACATTCAAGGCTATTACACTGAATAAACTCCAGAAAGCATTTGAGCATAGAGAATTCATATCTCTCTATTTCAGTGCACCTTACCTCATGATCTTTTTGTGTTTGCTTTTCCAGGGCTTCAAATTCATCTATTTCTTCTTTTTCCTTCAGTCTCTCTTTCAGTTCATTTATTTCCAATTTTAACTGCTCATTTTCCAGCACTAGATTATCGAAGTTAGCTTGCAGGATGTTGACCTCATTTACAGCAATATCCTAAAGAAGTGGCACAAGAAGCTTTAGAAGCTGTTGCTGCAATGTCAGCCTTATTGCTAGAGAATTCAGAATAGATCTACCTTTTCTAGTGCTAATGCTTCACAGAGCTGCACAGATTCTTCGAAGTCTTTCTGGGTCTAGAAAAAGGAACACTCTCTGTTAGCAGATCTACAAGATCAAGTAAGTGGAGTATTCTATTCCTTGTTGCTTGTCTTTTCACACAGCTAATCCTGTTTAAAGACCAAAGTTGACTTTATCATTTGCCACAAACTCATACCACAGCTTCACAGAGATGGCAAGAGACTTTCTAACCATTTTCAATAATTCTGCAGACACAGAACACTGGTGTTCTACAGAAGAGTAAAGCTGATCTTACTGAGAAGCATGTTATCAATATGTGCAGTATCAGAAAGTCAAAACAGATTATGTTGTTACCCAATTCATGTTCGGACCAGCAATCCATTCTGCTTCTGAAGTTTGATCAGGAACCATCAGGCAATGGCTCTCATACCCAGAATTCTCTAAGGTAGCTGAAAAGAAAAGTGTATTAACAGAAGCACCAGTAGATTTTAAACTGAGCATCAAGAATTTCTTCATCAAATAATTTTACCACATTGGAAACAAATCATTCAATGGCAAAACCACAGCAAGACTTCTGACTTTCATGATTTTCTGTTATGAAAGGGAACACCAGTGAAGTCCAATCCATATACTTATGTTGGCCATCTTATCACAAGTTAATGAAGTCTAAACCAAATCCAGAACATATACTTAATTACAGACTAGGAAAAGTTTGAGTGTCAAGGAAAGAACCACCCAACAGTAACCTGCAAGATTTAAGGGAAAAAAAGCACCCCACCCCCATACAGAAAAAAAAGAGCCCAGAACAATCCACCTACAAGCAAATACATGTTTCACAGAAGAGGTAATAAGGATGTAGGATGTAATTCCACAACAATACTACTAAATTGTCCTCTTGTTCTCAGTTGACTTTTGTTAGAAAATTTATTTTCCAATTTCAGTTCACTCCACGTATGAATCCTTGAATTTCTGTCTCAATCTCATCTTTGAGTAACAATTTCTATTCTTGAGGATTTGGGGATTTCACACATATACCTCTTCATTTTAATGGGAGAGAACATGAGTTGAAATGGACAGTCTGTGTTAAAGAACACTTTCCCAAAAAACTAGGGGGTGTGGGTAGGCTGCATGGCAAGTGTTTATAGACCTTGCCATTTACCTCACAGCTCTCCCCCTTTGGTTTAAAGAATTAAAAACTCAATATCCAGGCAATTTGAAGTAGTAGAAGCACTTTTTGTTGAAAAGTGTGCAGAATAACACTTACCGTCTTGTTATTTTGGTTTTTAATTTCTGCTCTCAAAGGATCAATTTATTCCCTTTGGGAAATGTAATGCAATGCTTGCAAAGTTATTTGTCGGGAATTTCACAGAAAAAGAAACAGAATGGTCTGGGTTGTAAAGGACCTCAAAGATCACCTAGTTACTTACAATCCTCCACATCTGGTACTGCTGGCAGAGACAACTTCATTTTTTTTGTTTCAGTCGGCATCGCATTTTCAAAGTCTTCAAAAAAGCTCACGTTTGCCTGGTTTATTTTACCAGGAGCCCAAGTAACTCTTCTTCTTCTCTTGGCCTTTAAAAAAGTATTTACAGGAAAAGTGGTAAAGCCAAACTACTAGGCAGAGAGTAAATGTTGCCTCTGGCTAGTTCTGCATCCATACTTGCATCACCAGTTAACTGGACAGTATTTCGCAGTTTCCTCAAAATTATTTGGAAACCAAAAAAGTCTTTGCAGTCTGTTCACCACAAGGCAACATAGAATTGACAGAAGTTAATTTACAAGTTAGCCCTTTAAAAATATGAAAAAAAAGAGTGAAAATTGCCCATCATAGTTACTCTTCATGATCAATATAAACCTATGTATGTAACGTTGCCTTTGCAAAGAATTTCAGACTTATCAGGTAAGATCTGGAACAGGAGCTTACTTTAACATTCTGTCTTGAGGCAAAGGAAGCAGAAGTCACCAGCATCTCAGTTAAGTTTCGTATTCTGTCTTCCTGTACTTTTTGAAGGGAATTTTTTTCTTCCAACAGCTGGGCCAGTTGGTCCTTTTCCATTGCATGAATCTGAGTTTTTGAAGACACCTTCCAAAAAGAGAATATTAATCACACTGACATCTTAAGAGCAGAAACCACTCCTGCAACAGATACACAATCATTGATACTTAAAAACAACTACACACATACATTTCTTTAAGTATGGAAGAGAAATATTTAATCCTGAGGAATGAAACTGACAGTTTAGTCTACGTTTTCACTGCAGACTTAGTATTTAAAAGTGGTCAAAACTTCCAGAAACAATACAGCCTCAGATTCTTCTAGGTATAAAAAGAGCATTCTTCCAAATATAACTCACTACCTGCTATCACAGAAGATATGAAACATACTCCCAAGTTCATGTTGCAAATTCATTATCATTAAAAATAAGGAATAATTAAAAAAAAATTCTCCAAGGATATTTATAATTTGCAATAAGAAAGTGCATTATTTGATTTAAGGCACTAGAACAGTATATTTGGCATTGTTATTTTCTTGTGTTTATGTATTATCACCTGTGGTCTAACAAGACTTGCAAGATTGTTCCACAGGTCCATAGATTTTTAGACAAGGAAAAACATCAGAAATGACAATGTTTGGTGAGAAGTTACTATTGTTAATTTTCTAAACGCAACTTCCACCTATAGGTGACCTAAGTTTTGCCAGTGATATTCATGCAATTGCAACTTCCTGCAGCTCAAACTGAAGTTAGATATCAGTAAGGAAGGAAATAATATGAAGTTGGGATCTTTAACGAACATTCAATCTCTTCTTAGATTAATTATATGAATTGTTTCTTTTGATCTGTTAAAGTGTGCTATAGGCATCAGAAATTTCTATTTCTTAATTATGTTAACCTACTGATTAGGTGCAACAAATTCACAATTCTGTCAGTTGATCTCATTCAGCCTTAGCCTGCACACAGAGATGTTGACTATCATTAGTTGCTCTAGACTATTCATCAAATACTCAATTTTTCTTCTTTCAATAAAAGTGGCAGAAATCACTTGAAAAAGTTCACATACCCCTCCAAATTTAACTGCTTTTGGTTTAAAACAGATAGTCTCCAAATAGCTATCAGTACTAAGGATTGATTTTTTTGAGTTTATTACGTACTTCCTCCAGCTGCTTTTTCAAATCCAGAATTTCTTTGCGGTATCTCTTCAGGAGAGCATCATCATCAAGAACTTCATTGACTTTTGGTGTATTCTTCATTCCTTTGGCTGTATTGGCAAACTGGAAGAACAGTCTTTCATAGGTAATAGTTGAAGAATAAATATCTAAAAAGACTTATTTTGTCCCATATTTCCCAACAGAATTAAAGGGGGAGTTTATTAGATAAAGAGCAGCATATAATAGGACACAAATATTTGAATTAGCTTATTTTTAATATATTCTAAGCTTTGAAAAGATGAAGTTTTCCTTGCTTGATATTTATACCTAAAATGTGAAGCAAAGCATTCTTGTGCTAGCAAAGACTTTGCTTAACTGTGTTTGGAAAAGGCAAATGAGATAAGAGTGGTTGTCTCCTGTCTGCTAAGTGAGAGAAGGAGCTTTGTTCCAGCTTCCAGAAAGCTCTAGGTAGACCACCTAGCACAAGATGACTGGGAAAAAATGCTGTGTACAAAAAATATTTCAAGTTCTGAGTTTACAGAAGCCCTACAGAAGATCCAGCTCATTAAAGATTCAGCAGATTACATTTTCCACCCCTCAAACCTTTCTACAATGACTAGTGCTGGAGAAGAGGTGAGAAGCTTTACCTGAAGAGTGCTGAGTGTCTCATCAAAAGAAACAGGAGTAATTGTACAAATAATAACTGTTTTAGCATTTCCTCCAAGGGAGTTCTGCAGAATTCGAGTCAGTTTACTGTCTCTGTAATTTATGAAGCTAATAAAAAAGAGGTAACAACAACAAAAAATGTCAGATTTTGGCATAAACCTGATAAATACATTTTCTAGAGGTAACAGGTTACGTGAAACAGTTACCTACATAAGATTACAAAAAAAGGATTTTAATTCTTTAGGTTAGCAGTGCCTTATCTTATAACAGGTACACAAATAGTTGCTTACCCAGAAGGGTCATCACAAAGTTTTTTGATAACTTGACCCAGAATGAACAAGCTCCGATTTATATTGCAGCCTTCTTTCAGTCGAACACCTAGGTACCACACATTTTATTATTACTATTTTAAATTTATAACAATATTAAGATACATTTTCAACCTGTCAAGCTTCTGTATGCTCAGAGGGATTGATTGTCCAAGAGTTAAACCTTAATACACTAATGACCCATCAGCAGGCAGTACCCAATCCTTTATGATAGCCAAAATGCATTGAAATAAAACAGTAATTAAAAAAAACCCCACATTTAGTACTTTTACATCTGAGGCCATAACAACTACAATTTTTCTTCCTGATTAAATTTTGTAAATGCCCACATTTACATGTATAACAAACCTGACTTAGATACGAGTTTTAGATTAGTCACTCTTTGTAAGAGAGGCTATTGTGTCCCTCTCAGATCACTTATTTCTGATCAATGCACTTCCGTGTAGCTTCATGCTTGACAGATGAGCTTCCTCTGAACTGAAGAGTGAGCCATCTATTCACTCTTCACCTCTACACACAAGTCCCTAAAAAGCTTCTTGTGATTTTGTTATTACAGGTGCATCTTCACTGAGTCATCCCCATTGTATTAGTTCAGTGCAGAACTATTGCTGGGCCTGCAATTCTAGAAAAGGCATATTGCTACTTAATTGTTTGCACTTCACAGTATTTCTAGTATTTTCCTGAGTAGATTCTGTCCTGCCAAGGGGAAAAGGCCATATTTATAAACAATAAATAACATAATAGCACATGAAGAAAATAAGTTCCTTTCTATCATAGTTTCTCATAGAGGTTAATTGACAGGAGTTGTCAGTGGAGCCTCATTTAACACTCACCTTCAGATCCTGTTTGACTAGCTCTTTCACTGCCTGCCAGATCTACCAAGTTCTGCAAATGCATTAAATATTTCACAGGTTAGTTCTGAGCCAAGTTACTTAAAACCCTCATAATTCTAAATCTCTGCTAAAAATTTAATAAACTAAACTTAAAAACAAAAGAGTAAAGGGTCTGTCATTACTGGAATTAATGCTTACTACACACAACCAATACTTTCAAAGGTACATAAGGGTGTGGAGTTAAGTTTGTATGAACTCTATTATTTCACCCCAAATAGTGTTTTAAACTAACAGTGCAACAATCTCTACCCTCGGTCACAAAAAGATAAATGTTTCTCAATACAGAAGTGTTGACTACTAATTCCAGCTGTAGGAATCTTTCATGGCAAAGAGCCTAGATGAGATGAGCTAGTGTCCTGTCCGATGCTGGCTGTATGTCTCTCCTTGCCTATCATTGTGGAAATAAGGAAAAAAATGAACTACCATAAGAAAAGCCTCACTCTGAACATTATGGCATCCCATAATGATTTGCCTGAGCAAGTAGCCTTCAAGTAGGCTGTAGAAAAGGCTTCTGTGTAGAAGATTGCTGCCTGCTCCAGGACGGTTTGGGTGAATGGAGACGAGAGATCTCTCAAGGCTGCTCTTGGGATATGAGGTTTATTGGGGATGCAGAAAGGTCCTGCCTCGAGCTGCCAAACGCAGCACGTGGCGAGGCTTGAGGGGATGGAGGAGGGGAGAGACAAAAGGATGCTCTAGGAGAGGGGAAGTTCCAAGAGAGGGGAGGAAGTTCCAAGAGGCCATGTGGCCCCTCGAAGCCCCCTTTTCAAGGGGCTTCAGGGTGGGCTGGAACAAGGCTCGGGGTTACAGGCACTTGATGTTTTAGGGAAGGGACAGAGGTGCGGGGTGAACCATATGTTTTGGGGGTGAGATGGAACAGTCCACTTGACCCCAGGACCCATCCATAGGCAGGGGCGTTGTCCAGCTAGCTGGGAGAACTGTTCTCATCCTGGCTGTATTATTTATGGATAATCATATTTATCTATCTTCTGCAACACTTCTGAAACCTTAACATTTCACTAGAGATGTCCAGAGGTATACTCCCCAGTTTATGGTATTTCATATACCAGTAATCCACCAAAGAGATGCTAAGAGGGGTCACTTCTGAAAAAAAAAATGAATCTTTTGGCCATTGCACACATAAGCCACACATTCTTTTAACAACAACTAAATTTGAGGATAAGTGAAGATTTAAGGTTACCCATTTTACAAGTTATTTTACTGGACTTGTCAGTGGTCAGAAACAATTGTAGGGAAGATGTATTGAACAAAATTCAAGAGCACTCTGACATAGTCCCTTATGCTCCTAGAATGTCATAACACTTCCCCAGTCCAGCATGAATAACTCTCATGTAGAACTCCCTCTGGTGGGAATATCTGCTCTAGATAATGCCATAGGAGTCTTCCTCTATACTTAAGAAACATCTGTCAGAGTTAACAACAAAAAGCTCTTGTAAGTCATTATGCAGTACCATTAGTCTCTCAAACAAGCAGTAACAGCAAATTCTCTAGTTAACCTGTACTCCAAGAAGGTATTAAATAGGCACTTACCAAATGGGAAACCATGACTGCTCCATCACAGTTTGCATTTGCAGGGTCACTTCGTTCTCTGCTTTCAATGATCTAGAAATGCAATGAAATGCAATTAAGTTTTTACTACTTTGAAAACAATAAAACCACTTCCAACAGTGAAACATTTTTTACCATTCTGAAGATAGTGTGAGAACGGCTGCTGTGTTCATTCATTTTTGTTTCTCCATAATGGCGATTTCCTGTCAAAAAATAATATTAGAATACTTCTGCTTATAATCTAATAAACTGGAGATAAACAGACAAAAAGTACCATTTTAAGACTTTCTGAAAAACTTTGGTTTATTAATATAAATCCAAGGGGATACCCCATGGTTCTAAATGTACCTGATTTAACCAACACTTTTTAAAGCTATCAGCTGACATTGTCTAAATACTTACTTTCTCCTTTTCTGATCCATTCCATAACTTGTTCTGGGGCAACTACCACTTCTTCAATCAGATCTTCTACATATGTATTCCTCTATATAATGAACACAGTAATAAATTTTACTGAACTCCAAAACACACTTCAATACATAAAGTACACATTACCAGCAATTATGGTATTTATTCAACAGCTGAATGTCTTTTTACTCTAATCACAAGTGATGGGTAAAGTTTAGATTTTGACCAAAATTGTCAAAGGCAATTGTTGCCTAAGGGCACATGAATCAAACAATAGATTTAGATTTTCCTAAAAACAGAAGGGCTGTGTGAAATATCCTTCACATTTTCTAAGGGAATTTAGGAGTTTATTTCTCAGTAACTCTTACAAGAACATAGTCATACATCTGGTAAATTTCCTTTCTTCCTATGTTCCAAAACCATGACCACTTAACGGAACCAAAGGGAAACAAACACCCCAAAACCCAAATCAACAATTTTTATAATTTCCTACAAACCTTTATATAACGAAACTGAAGATGGTGTTAATACAGACTTCTTTTTCTATAGTGATCATCTTACTGAATAGTTCTAGTCTCATGGTTATTCTATGATCACAGAAGAAAAGTGTATCTGCTTGGTAGATTATATGATCTTAAAATAACTGTATATCTGTCAGAAATTTGTAACACATGGAGCTTAACATCATGTTTGTAGAAGTGCCACTAGCTAAACAATTATTTAACATCCACTTACATTAACATCCTCACGAATTCCCAGAGGCTTCTTTTTCCTATTATCGCAAAGCAAATCGGTAATTGTTTCATTGTAGATTTCCATGTAAGAAACCCTCAGCAGGAATTCTCTATCTGGAATCTAATGTTGAAAGGAGAAAAAAAAATCAAACAAAAATCAGACTAACTGATGAACATTTTTTAATACAGTTTAATTCTTAAACTAGAGATAAAGATTTGGATATTGTTCCACAGATTTCTTTCCCTTCATCCTTGCTGTACATTAGCATCTAACAATACAGAATAATTTTTCTTCTACCCCACCTCCTTCCAGCTGCATTAATGGATATACCACTTCTAAGAAGTTATAAAATTAAGGTAACTGCTCAACAGAAGCGTGGCAATAGTTCTCCTACTTAAATGCCATTTCCATAACCAATTTCCTCCTGCTTAGGCTCCTTCCTCTGTGTGTACCTTGTCTTCTCTCTTTGCTTGCTCGGTTTTACTTTGCTGCTGCCGCTGTTTCTTCCCCTGCCTCCTTGGCAGAGAATGTTGGGGCGAGGAAAGGCTGCACAATGGACTCAAGGAACATTTTCTTGCTTTTATTTACTTCTATAAACCCTCTAAGGGTACTCTGCAGCTCCTTAAAGGAGCAGTGACCTTTTCACTTCACTGGTAACAACTACCCGAAACTCTCAAGGCAGAAGCAAACACTCTGCAAATCATGTTTTGGAAATCACTGTTTTAATGTACACTTTCTCCTTACTTTTATTAATATTGAGCAATTAGAAATTCTTTTGTTAGCCTAAAATAATATAGTGTCATATTCTTCCCACAAAAAAAAAAGTCATTAATTGTTAATTTATTAGACTTTTAAAGCGGCAAAATAAACACAACTTTGCACTATCTTATCTACCACATTAATAAGTGAGTATCTATTTTTATTTGTAATCAGTTTAACATATTAGGAAGTTAAGAACCCTCCTTAGTTTTGCTCTGATTTGATTTAAACTACTAGAGTGCCATTAACTTTTTGTTTGAAATACTCATCTTTGCCAGGCTGGCAAAGTAACTGCAACATATAGTCCAATATAAGTTGATTTCCTTCATAAGCCTCTTGATACTAAAATTAACTTTTATGTAACCAGCACAAATATTACTAGTCCTTTCAGTCACTTCAATTTAATAGAATTGCTCACCTCACAAATAATTTTGAACACATGTTGAATTGCCTTAGGGATAATGCCCACGGAATCTTCATTCCCCATCATTGTGTAAGTCTTCCCTGAAGCAGTCTGTCCGTAAGCAAAAATTGTGCCTAGAAAGATGGTTAAGTTTTACCAACTATCTCTGAAATACATTCTAAAAGATTTTAAACACAGTTTTAAAACTTACCATTATAGCCTTGCACAGCTGACTGTATAATTGGAACAGCTACACCATCATACAACTGCTGAGTGTTGTCACTCGAGTGAAAGACACGATCTTAAAACAAACAACAAAACAAATAAAGCATGTGAATCCACTCTATTGCAATTCAAATTCAGTATTGCAGACTCCAAATCCAGTAAATGTGGATCAACATCTGCAGGTTAACGCCAATATAATTATCATTGTATCACTACTAATGCAAGTTTTAAAAATTTTGTTTTAAAATAAATATTAAACACAAAATCAAGAAAGATACAATGCACAGATGATAGACAAGTAAAAAAAAAAAAAAACCTAAGAATGATGAACACACTTAAACAGTCATCCCATTTAATCCTAAAAGGTTTTGGCTAATTTACGTACAAGGATGGTAAGCCTGACAAGACAGGTTAATTGCTAAACTCCTAGACTGCTGCATACTTTTATGTGAATCTGTATTTTGGGAAAAATATTTGTAGTGGCTCATATTAACAAGTAGAGTGAATCAGTAAGAAAAGACTCAAAGAAAGCCACTTAGTTATGAGGATCCAACATTCACACTAATCACTTTTGGGACTGTGTTCTCCCATACCCTTCTCCCTATATGTTCTAGACTAGCCATTTAGTCCATTTACAACTGGATTTCAGATCAAAAAAATGTGTTCCAGAGGCACTACGGCATGAACCAGAACAGATAAAGTAATGTCCATCAGGAAGCTGACCTCAAAAGCACATCCCAGTACTGCCTACATCAGAAATCCTGCGTGCCCCAATGGCACTCCTTCGGAATTAGGAAGCTGGGAAGGTTGGGGCACATTTCAAGAAGCCCAGGGCATTCACCACAGTCAACACGTTCATGACTACAGCAGAAAAGCTCCGCGTAAGTATCTAAGTAAAGCAATTGCTTTCATATTCTTACCGTAACTAAATATTTTGGTACCACTCACGTCGGAAACAGTATTATTCTCACTTCTCCAGTGCAGGGACACTTTATCTCCTGAGGCATTTTCTCTAAAAGAAGAAACACCGTGTTACCTTTATTGGGCGAGGATTGTGCTCCCAAAACGCGAACCCCCTTACCGCGACCCCCTCCGTCCGCCTCCCTGCCCCAGTGCGGGAGCGCGGCGGCGCCCGGGGGTGAGGAGGGAGCCTCCACTGCCGCCAGCCCTGCGGCTCACCTGGCGATGAGCGGCCGCACACGCACGCACACCGTGACGGCACCCTCGTCCGCCATGCCGGCCGGGACAGGAGGGGCCGGGACAGGAGGGACCGGGACAGGAGGGACCGGGACAGGAGGAGAGGGAGCGGACGAGGGACAGCTCTGGCAGCGCAGGAGCGCCCGCCCCAACCGCCGCCGAGGTTTGAACTGCGCCCGCAGCCGCTCCCTATTGGCTTGCGAGGGACGCACGCCTTGCGTGGAGCGCACCACTCGCACGAGCTGGCGGGGAGGTGTGGGGGGGGCGGCCGAGGGAAGCGCGGTCAGGGCCAGCGGGCTGAGCAGCCCCCGAGCTCTCCCGCCACACCTTCCCCCCCGCCTGCCCAGATGGCAGCGGCCTGGGCAGGAAAGGCTGTCCGGACCCAGCTGCCGGTCTTTTAAACACCCCCTGGCATGGCCGCTCCGCCGCGTCCCTGGGCAGCCCGCCGGTCTTTTAAGCACCCCCTGGCATGGCCGCTCCGCCGCGTCCCTGGGCAG